AACAAAAACCGCAAAGCCAATGAGAGTTGGGCTTTGAGCACCTTTTATATTCAGTAGAGCCTAATCGGGTGCACATCTTATGGAACCACTTATTACACTCATCAGATTTCATCCCTTCCTCCACGGGAATAAGCAAAATGGTTGTCCACATTTATGAGCAGATCTAGCCATCTTGAAAATCAACTAGAACGGTGACAAAAACAGGATATGTAAAAGGATTCTCAAACCTTAGCTAAATAAATCAAACAAAAGTCGGCCAAGTACGCTTCGATGCAATAAATACACAAAAGCAAAATCGAAACACTCAATACAATATAACTTTAACTGGAGTAGATGCAATTAAAGTGTAAACAGTAGTTCTGATGCGTAATTTACGATCAAAACAGTTAATTAACTCAACGAGAAACAATACCACTGTCCTTTTAAATAGAGCGCGTTGCAAGAACAATTTTATTCAAATTATGTATCAATTATTAAATGTATATTAGTTACCAAGTTTTACTAAATTGAGCAATTATTACTATTATTTTATTATTTATTTATTTGAACACATACATATTGGTACAAGAGTGCGCCAAATATATATGCGCCACACAAAACAATGAGAATTTAAAGAAAAGGAAAAAAGGCAAAGAGGGTAAAAAAGAACAATAAGGAAGAGATTGGTGTAAGGTAGTGTAATAATAATAGTGGTAATAATGGAGGAATGGAAAGGTACAATCGGAAGAAACCCTTCAGTTGAGGAAGATACAACCAGGTTTTTTTTGAAGAAAGTAAAAGAAGGTTACAGCAGGATCGTCACTGGTTTCTATTCTGAGCCATATCTGATAACGTCTCTAGCCACTGTGTTGCGCTATCTCTCGGACCCCAGCCTGGGAGTCGTGAAGGACCAACAGAAGCCAGCCCTTTACAGGTTTCTTTCATACCATGACACCATGTCGCACACTGACCATGTTACAGAACTACATTCACTAGTAGGTGCCCTTCTATAATATTTCTGTTTTGTTCATAATTTTTTGGTCGTGCCAATTGTTCTTTCAATGGGGTAAGGAACAAGAGATATGCCTGCAAAGTCTACTAAAGTTTCTTCAATGTGATGCTGTTCTTCGAGTTTAACCCCCTAGTGTACGCTCTATATCTATTACTGATGCATCAACTGTGGGTATCGGAGTAGGTTTGAAGCGGGAAGTTAGACTGGCTATCTGTGTTTCACGCAAACCTACCGTTACTAAACAAGGTTATTCAAAAACTCAGCCAGAAGCATTAGATGTGTTTTGGGCTGTTAAAAGAATTCATTAATATTTATTCGGAAAGCGACTCACTATTGTTACTGGCCGTGAAGCACTAAACTTTATTTATCACCTTGCAAAATACTTAACACGTTCCTCAGCTGCTATGGTTCAACGATGGAGTGATGGTTTGAGTGCTTATGACTATACGGCTCAGTACAGGAGTGCCAAACAAATTTAACATATTGACTACATTTGTCGACAATCATTACAAGATAGACCTGTTAATACTGCAGACCTTTACCTGTGAGACAAATCAAATACACTTCCAACAACCAGGCGAATCTGTTTGGATTTTGCTTATTAATTCTAATACTAATGAGTAAATTGTAGATATTGGAGAGACTATCAAATACACTTTTGGACAGACACAGGATGAACTTAAGAAGAAGACTTTCAATCAACTACAGACAATTAGACTGCAATCTCAATTGTGACGGATGTGATGTTTGTATGAACTAACGATTCCTTTTCACTTGTTGAATGCTTGATTTCGAATTCCGAATACAGTACACTCGTTTGGGCTTATCTAGTACTTCTTGATCCGATGGCGTTATTTCTTGGATTCCTAGTTTGTACTATAATTCAAATACGTACAACTACTTACAACTGCAGGTCAAATCATTATGATGTATATGTATCAAAAATCATAGCAAAATGATAACAATAGCAATTTTAATGACAGATATTAATGACATCATTAGGACTTTTTCTAAAACTTGATTGATATTAATAAGTACGAAATTATTTTAGTAAAATTGGAATTCTTCTTACTGCTTAGCTTTAGTATGGCATTTGTAAGAACTAATGATTTTTTTGTACTTGATTACCCGCTAATTACGAACTCAAACTACAATACGCTCATTTGCAGTCATCTGCTTCTGTTTTGCTTATATTACAGTCTCTGGAATTCCTTGTTAGTACAAAAAGTCGAATACTTCTAATCATCGTATTGGTGTCGTCATGGAGCCTGTTATCGAACAGTTGGATATACATACCTGGAAAATTTTTAAAAATAGAGTATGATCATGAAAGATGTTAAGCACCGTAAAAAATTTCGGCTCATCTCATTACATTCATCGGAATGGATGTATACATCTTGCTAAAAACGTTGACATCCGCAGATAAGTCCATTTCACTTTCCCACGCAACTCTCAAGGAACTATTACTAAATCATGTAAAATGTACTTATTTCCAATGCTGTGAAGGGGTAAAATTTCATGAAATCATTTCCTAGGACATCAGGAATTCCACTACATTACGTGTTTATCTCAGACCAATGCGTACTCAAGGTCATGCAGATAACAATTTATTTAGGAGTTGTAAAGCATGTTACAGAGGTGAGCACAAGTTTGTTAAATGCTTGCCCTGTGGTAAATTTCACTCACGTAATACATGTGTATTTCGACACACGAAATGTTTTAAGTAAGGGAAAATGGGACACATTAAGTCGGTCTTTAGAGTTGTTGTTCTTTTTGCCACTAGTAATGATAAACTCTGTAGTTCCAATTATATTAAAATGGGTGTTTCTAATGGTTGTTCACTCTTATCCACGATTTCGTACGGTAATGTTCATATTCAGAAGCGACTGTATACCAACTGTGATTGATTCCACAACTTCAGTGTTGACACAGGTAGTATAAATTCATATCTCAGTTCAGAATTATATGAAGTCTCGTTAGCTTTTTATGACTCTGACAATGAGCTCCAGCCAAAACAAACTCAGGTTTCACGTAATATTTGTCGAGAAAGATGAAGGGACTTGTATTTATAAACTACTTGACGCAGAACAATGAATACAAGTGTATTTTTAACATACATGAGTTATCATAATGATTCACATGTTTTTGATAGGAATTCTTATAAAAATGAGAACATTATGTTGAATGAAACAAATTATGACCGGAAATCTGATGCACTTAGTATAGATGCCGATTTTTTTTATGATCCATTAGTTTCTAGTCACATTCCCAACAAACTTGACGAAAATATTCCAAAAGTATCATATCATGATGTCATATCAAATGTTATTTGTTCTTATTATGGGTTTTCTTCTGAGGGAAAACTTGGCCATTGGTCCCAAGTGAATTCAAAAGGATCCTATGATCAATGTCGGAAATATGTTGTAGCGGTAAACAAATCCCAAAAATAAATAGCTCTGTAAGTTTTCGACATTGGATGTTGACCGCATGTTTTAATGAACTGACCTAGCTGAAGGCGCTCGGCCATGCATCCACACTAGATCACGTGTGGGAACGCCGTGCTCAACAACTACTGCTATCGCTAGCCAGACTAGATCAGACAATTCCGTTATATTGACAATCGTCAAATACAACTTCTGATCTCCTCGATTCTGTCTTTTGATTTCTCTTGATTGGTACGAGTTATATTAGAAGGTGTTACTGATAAATGCGTTGTCAAACACTAAATACCCGTGCCATCTTCAGTGTCTTAAATAAAGACGCATTGTTTGTAACTTGGGTTTATGAAGATCGAACATTATTTTGTGGAGTAGGATAGTGTTGGAAAACCTACTATTCGAATTCTAGATATCAATGATTTCAGTGCACACAACCGACATGTTAATCAAATACAATTCCGATGTAGCGGTAAACGGATCCCCAAAGTTACCGGTTCTGTAAGTCTTCTACATTTGATGCTGATTTCACTAGTTCTGCTGGACACCCATAGCTGAAGGCACTCTGTCACGAATGCGCACCAGATCACGAGCAAGTACGTCGTGCTACCCGTCGGATTCAACTGTTAACCAGCTTGGAGTAAATGCTAACCGACATATCAGTAGCCTTTCAGATATATCTTCGAACTCCTCCGTTTATGACTTTTGGTTTGATTGGGTTGGCTTACTTCTGTTATCAAGGTGTTACGTGTAAAGCCATTGTCGAACTCCGAATACTTGTAGTATATTTATAGTTATATACCTGAGTTAAAATAAGTAGAAGACTCCGTTTTTCCCACTGAATGGTCAATGTAATGAACGTCGAACCCAAACAGGTGTGAACAATTATGTGAATTAGTTGAATATTCGCTGGGATATAAGATACCTAGCTTAACACATAACAGCTGAGGTGCAAAGGTGAAAGGTCAAGATATCATATCGTATAAAGACAGACTGGGACGATTCAATCAATTTCTGTCATCTTAACACAGGTCACAGGGCTATTTAATATTCACTTACAGTATATTGAACGATGAACCGGGTATTAATACAACTTATTTTTCACTTCAATCTAGAACTGATAATCTGAGTGTCATCATAAGAAATTTCAAAAACTGAGATAAAATTGTTCATGTCTGGAGTTCTGTATCTCTCAAGAAATAGTGCATTATTAGAATTCAGATTCAGATTTGTGTAGTAAGGACAGAAGGCTTACGGCCTATGTTATTCCTTTTCTAGTAAGCTTCTGTGAGTGTCCAGTCTTCTCTTGAAAGAGTCAATTGAAGGTGCGGACACCACTGCTTCAGGCAGCAGGTTCCAATTATTGATGACTCGGTGTGAAAACCTGTATGCCACGGGTATTTTGTTCGTTCTTGGCTTTTCTACTCACTGTATCGGAACACGTGATATTAGCACTTTTTGAGGGTACTTTCAAGTCCGGGTTGGATCCTTACATTTTTATCAATTGCAAGGATTATTATCTATTACTGGGACTTCTATCCTTGCAAGAGAGTACTGACACGAGTTTCACTTGTGACCTTCATGTAGCTGACCTAGACAAATAGGCGCTTATTACTGAATACTTTAGTTGATAGGATTTTATGTGACGTAATCTATGATGAGGTGGATTCCATATGAAGAGAATATAAAATGGGCTGTGGGTAGGATATTAAACTTGAAATTTCATCTTATTTTTAGTTGTTAATCCGTTCAGGAGTGATACTTGCGATAAACTTGACATTTCAGTTGGCGATGATGTATTTATTTTGCGACAATGTGAAGGTAAAGTTTACACGATAATTATATTATGTACCAAGATTGGTTTTATGGATTTAAAATGAATGTCTGTTCGAAGTTTGGCGTGTTTCCTAAGGCATGTGTCGCATTTAAACGGGATGATCTATCTGATGGGGTCAGTGCTGAGTTACGGATGATGGTAGAAAAATTAATATCCATGTTTGTGGTAAGTCAGTTATACCTTATTTTTTCTTCAGTCAGGAAAATATGGCAGGATGAGTAAACACTGTATGGCTCTTCGTGATGTTGTTAGTTTGAAGTACGCCCTTTCGGGAAGAATAACAAAGGTAGTTTTATTGAGTGGATAATAAGTTTTGTAGTTTGACATTATTGCTAGCCTAAGAAAGCTTCACACTCATATGTCGATGGTACAGAGGTAAATTCGTATTGCTTATTCAATATCATGTAGTAAACTATTTTTGCCATTCATCATTCGGGATGAGAATTTTAAATACATCAATCCGTACTCCATATCTCCCATAGACTTACACTGGAAGCACAAAAAGCTTATAAAAGAGCTTGAAGATTCAGAAGTTAGTTTTACGCTTTCGAAATGTGTAGTACAACTCCTATTATGTGTAAACAAAACATCCGCATTTTGTTTTTCGTGTGTAATGAAATCTCTACTTTATTTGGTATATTTACACTAGATATTACTTGTTACAAGTTCTACGAGACGTTGCAATAGTTTTTTGATAATAAGAACCCTAAAGTTCGTATTTATATCACAACCTTGTAATTCATTGTCCGGGGTTTGAAATTTGGAGAGAATACGTCCATTATACTGCATTTATGTGGTTTAGTTCAGCAGTACGAATTCCTTTTTTTGTATCTAATTATGAATAACTGACTACGAATAACCCATAAGCTAAACAATAAAAACGCAGTAGGAATACTTGGAAAACAACGAAACGGCCTTCAGTCCAGGTATAGATTTGCTGACAGAATTTCTGGCAAGACTATAATTTATGGACGAACCAATTAGATTTAGATAACGAGTCACGAATTTGGGCGCGGAATTCATCCATACATTTGGCTAAATAGAGTTTTTGCACTATAGCTGATGTCAGTTCGTGATGAAGACCCTAAATATAATTTTTAACTTTAACCATCAACTGTAAATTAGAATTCTGACTGCATTATAACCCTGATTCAGCTCTAATTAGTAGGTGTCCACTCTCAAAGTCACCTCGGCGTCGCTCAAAGGTCGTCCATAAATTATAGTCTCACTTAATTTCTTATAATTAGAATGAGTCTATTGTTCAAACTTCAGTGTGCAGCCACTAAAGCCGTAGTTGTGTAGTTCAAAGTTATTTCCTGTCATTAACTCTTATTTGTATCTAACTCCATTAGAAAGCCGGAAAATAAATGTATTCTGTAAACTAGGTTAGTAGTTAATGGCTGATAAAAACCAATTTGTCCGCCTGGTTAAGTTGATCATGAAATTCCATCGAAATTTAGGCTATTGTGTAACATTAAGTTTATTCGATAAGATTGTAGGGTTTTGGAGTAAGAAATTCACCTTTCCAGAAGCTTTCTGAAAATATTCATTCTCGATGAATAGAAACAATCTCTGATTAGGAAAGTAAAAATATCCTATTCTTAAATACGTTATTTATTTATTTAAACACATAAACATTGGTACAAGGGGGCACCAAACAGATATGCGCTACATAAATCATTCGATTTGTGTGAGGGCTGGGATACTGCCTGGGTGCAGTTAAAGGCAAAGTTATTTGAATTTATTGTGGTGTTTTAAAAAGTCACTTTTAAGCACATCGTGGATAAATATTTCAATACAATGGTTTTATTAATATGTACCATAGAGCAGACGTTAACATTTTAAATGGTGAAAAGATATACGTGTTCTTCAGTAATTTTGGCATAGCGAACCATCAATAAAGTTTATCAATCACCTATGCATTTTCTTTTGTCTAAATTAAATATGAAAGCTGCTCATTTTTCCTTCTTATTATGTTGTGCTATTTTCCTTGCTCAATTCTACTTAGTCACACGCTTGTGCATCATGATGATGATTCGTATCTATAACTTCAACGCTATGAACGAGATTGTTCCCATTCCTCTTCTTCCCTGTCTGCCAACTAGAGCGGGTTTAGTTTGTATAGAAGCTTTCTTGATATAGGCTCTAGAAGTTTATATCATTTATTTAAACACATAAACATTGGTACAAGGAGGCACCAAATAGATATGCGCCACATAAGTCATTCGATTTGTGTGAGGGCTGGAATACTGCCCGGGTGCCCGAACCGAAACAGGTGGTTTTCTAGGGAGGTCACTCATCGAGCCTTTGACCTAAAGGTTTAATCCACAAAGCAGTGGAGCACCGTAATGAGATGCAGTCTGATGGTAGCCGGTGACCAACAATAGGTTAATACGCCACTTGTTTCCTTAGGATCCCAAATGCCCTGGTACGGCCGAGAGTGGGGAGAGTCCGCTCTCCTTCTCGAAATGCTCTCACATGGCCATGCGTATATAGCCTCTGCAAGGGAAGTCCTACTCACTGCCTTCTCGTGGCGGGGGTGTTGTTTACAAAAACGAGAGGACGAAAAGCGAATGTCCGGCGGTTTAACCGGATTCCAAACCAATGGTGCACATGGGCTCCAGTATCCTGCAGGAACAAATGGCGTATGAACCAATCGTTGGTCACTGGCTTCCATGGGACTGCATCTCATTACGGTGCTCCGCTGCTTTGTGGATTAAACCTTTAGGTCAAAGGCTCGATGAGTGACCTCCCTAGAAAACCACCTGTTTCGATTTGGTCACTCGGGCAGTATCACAGCCCTCACACATATCGAATCAGATTTTTGTGGCGCATATGTATTTGGTGCCTCCTTGTACCAATATCTATGTTAAAATAAATAAATAAAAACACCACGAGAATGTAATGCGTAGGCCTTTCCTTGCAGTGGTTGTATGCACGGTCATACCAGGGCATTCGGGAGCCAATTATATGTGTCAAATTATATCCAATTTTATTCAAATTATGTATCAATTATTAAATGTATATTAGTTACCAAGTTTTACTAAATTGAGCAATTATTACTATTATTTTATTATTTATTTATTTGAACACATACATATTGGTACAAGAGTGCGCCAAATATATATGCGCCACACAAAACAATGAGAATTTAAAGAAAAGGAAAAAAGGCAAAGAGGGTAAAAAAGAACAATAAGGAAGAGATTGGTGTAAGGTAGTGTAATAATAATAGTGGTAATAATGGAGGAATGGAAAGGTACAATCGGAAGAAACCCTTCAGTTGAGGAAGATACAACCAGGTTTTTTTTGAAGAAAGTAAAAGAAGGTTACAGCAGGATCGTCACTGGTTTCTATTCTGAGCCATATCTGATAACGTCTCTAGCCACTGTGTTGCGCTATCTCTCGGACTCCAGCCTGGGAGTCGTGAAGGACCAACAGAAGCCAGCCCTTTACAGGTTTCTTTCATACCACGACACCATGTCATACATTGACCACTTCTCCGCTTTTTCCAACCAGTCCCAGAGTCGGCAAATAATACACGATGTGGAATTTTCTGGGACGACATTCGTAGAACATGTCCAAGCCACCGAAGTCGGTGTTTCAAGATGGTGACACCGATTGCATTATCGTCTCTGTGCCCGAACACACGTGCCGAACCTCTGCATTACTAACATGGTGTTGCCACTGGATGTCAGCAATCCTTCGGAGACAACGATTATCGAGCACAGATAGTCTTCTAACGTCCTCAACTCGGAGAGACCAGATTTCACAAGCATAGAGCAAAACTGCTCTCACCGACGCGTTGTAGATCCGACCTTTTACAGCCAGACTAACATCACGAAGGCACCAAAGATGGCCCAGATTAGCATGAGTCGCTCTGGCTTTCACTATACGTGCATTGATCTCATCACTCACACCCCCACCAACACTTATGCAGCTACCCAGATACACGAACTTCTCGACTACGTCTATCTGCTCACCATCCAGAGTGAGTAAAGGACTAGAATCCTGCCAGTCTTGTAGAAGTACTTTGCACTTGGAAGGTGCAAAGCACATACCATACCTACGGACACTGATTGCCAACTGATTAAGTGCGGATTGCATGCCTTGGCCTTATCGCACAGTAAGACAATATCATCCGCATACTCCAGGCAACAGATCCACACCACCTTTACTTACATCCATCAGAGCTGTTTCCAGAATATCGTCGATGGCAAAGTTGAAGAGGAATGGTGAGATTGGGCAACCCTGCCTAACCCCGCTGCTCGAATGGAACAATGGAGAAAGGTGGTTGTATGTTTCCACTCCGCCTGAGGTGTTTGTATATAGGGCTTTTAGGATGTTAATAAACCTCTCAGGCACACCCTTCTTCAATAGACAATCTCAGAGAACAGTCCTATCCAATGAATCGAAGGCAGCCCTAATGTAAAGAAACACTAAGTATGACGGTGTTCTGACATTTGGATGAGAGTGAAGATATGATCAATACATCCTCAACCAGAACGAAAACCAGCCTGCTCCTCGTGAGTCAATCTTTCTCAAGTTTTGAACAACCTACGAAGTATGACGGAAGCCAATAGTTTGGACGCAATCGGAAGTAGACATATCTCCCGATAGTTGTTATAGAGACGATGTGAACCCTTTTTGAGGATAGGGACAATTATCAACTCATTTCACAATGATGGGACACCGTCTAACTGCCAAACCTTTGTAAATAACTCAGTCAGTTCCTTAACCAGAAAGTCACCACCATCTTTAATAAGAGCCGGAGGTAAGTCATCTGGGCCAGGTGATTTGTAGCGCCTCAAGAGTTGGAGTTCCTTGCGGACTCCCGCCTCATTTGGTGGATCAGTCGTCACCGGTCATGGAGTACAGGACAGTATTATCGATGATGCCGGAGCAGCAAGCCAGTTGAACTGCCCTTCAAAAAAATTCTGCCCATCGTCCAAGACGTCGATGGATGTTAGTGATTGACGTTCCGTCATCCTCGCAGATTGTTTTGCTCACACCAGACTTCTTCCTGCCAGTGGCTCGAATGAGTTGGAAGAGCTTCAGGTAATTACCAGATGCAGCTGCTGCTTCCAGCTCATTAGCACGCTCCGACCACCAGGCTTCTCGGTCCTTACGCAAGCTTTGCCCAATTTCCTTACGTAACATCCTTCGTTTGTGGTCAAACTCACGGTGACCCGGAGTAGGCCGACGGGCTTCGATGAGTTGTAAGGAGCCTGAAGAAACCCACAACTGACTGTACCCGCCATTTTCATGGTGTCATGCGATTGCAACCAATGCTCATCCATACTTTTCGGTGGAATGGTAGCTAGCCTAGAAGCTAGCTCGGTTCGATACTTACTTGCAACAGAAGTTGCAACCAGCTTGCTAACATCAATCCGTTGATGGCGGTCACTTCATTGGCCACTGAAAAGTAAGGCAAGATTGGTGCAGACCAGGGCATGGTCAGAGTCCAGATAGGTACTCCAAAAGGAGCGGCAGTCTTGTACACAACCACGCCAGCGGTAACTGATCTCGATGTGATCAATCTGAGTCCAGGCTTGAGATGCAGAAGGGGGACGCCAGGTGGCACATCGGCGATGACTGTGCCGAAAGTTAGTGCTGGCCAGGAACAGGTTGTGGTCCGTGCACAGTTGCAGTAGACGGTCCCCGTTATCTGACCTGCGACCAACAAGTCCCCATTGACCACCTAAACGACTCTCTTCTGTGCCTAGACGATCGATCTGAGCATTCAAGTCTCCGGCTAGTACTACAATATCTGTCGAACGCACTTTCTGGAGAAGAACAGATAACTGGTGATAAAATTCATCCTTGGTTGCATCCAGGCTGCAATCTGTCGGGGCATAGGCGGAGATGACGAAAAGACATCGTTTCTCACGCCGATTTCTTCTCACTTTGATGGAACTCTCTAATCTAACAGCACATAACCGGCTGTTAATGGGGATCCAATAGATTAGTGCTGCCCCAGTTCTAGCGCTCAGTGCGACACCAACGCTAGCAAGACCAGACGAAGATGCCACAGGGTCCCCGGATAAGCGCACGTAAAACAAGCTTTTCGAAGCGACAGATGGAGAGCGAATTTGTAGTACTTCACCAGAGTCTTGAATACGGGTCTCGGATAGACAGCAAACATCGATATTAAGACTTCCCAAAGACATAGCCAGCCCTATCTGTTGTCCAACCTGCATAAGTGTGCGAACGTTGAAGGCAGCCAGTTTGAATGGCGCGCGCGGTTTCAGAAAAACTGCTTCAGTACTCATATTCGGTAGTAACATACAATTTTCAACCGGACAGTGACTCGAGAACGTTTAGATACAGTCGAATTTCCACCATAGATGAACTGCTGTATAAGTCGAAAAAATAAATATAAACAGAATGGAAATAAAAGAGGGTGAATAATGACGTAGTAAATAATAATAATAATAATAATAATAATAATAATAATAATAATAATAATAATAATAATAATAATAATAATAATAATAATGCGAGTCACTTGATTGTTATTTGGAGCGAGAGGAATATTTTTCATAAGTAGATAGTTTATCATGTTTTTGTGTGCGGGCTGAGATACTGCCCGATTGCCCAAACGGAAGCAGGTGGTTTTCTTAGGGAGCCACACCCCGAGCCTTTGACCTAAAGGTCTAACCCACAAGGCAGTATAGCATCGTGAGGAGATGCAGTCCCATGCTAGCCGGTGACCAAGGAATTGGTTCATACGCCATTTGTTCCCGCAGGATACTGGAGCCCATGTTTTACTATACGCACAATCACAGAGAATCAATAAATACAAAAAGAAATGGATCGAAAATCAAATGACTAACTCGATACTGGATACCAAATACGGGTAAATACACACTGAAAGTGAGCGAAAATGGTTCGCTACGAAAGTATTAATACAAGGAAAGTACATTGACAATTAACTGAACCAAAATCACCTTAAATCCATGTTCGAATTATAAGATTGATTGTCTTTCATACATTGTATTTGGGAATATTACGTCTCAAAATTAAGTATTGGATTTTATTATCTACCTCTTTTATTGTGTTACGCTCTTTTGGTTAATTAAAACTACTTAATCAAAAGGTTATATTTCTCTTTTTACAAAGCTTTATTTAAAACCGATTGCCTTAATAGCCATATAATTGAGTATATATATATTCGTACTTATTTAGCTGTCTGCTCAATGTCCTGCATATCATCCTTTCAATCTGCGCGTTCGTTTTAAAAATTTACCTAAAGCATTTCTAACAATGTACTTAGTAAGTCAAGTCTTACAAAGCTCTCAGAATGTAGTCAGTTCACCAGCTAATTTAATTCCAAACTTGGATATGAATTTTGCTGTCAATGCAAGTTCCGACTGCGCGAATTTTACCTCATACAATTGTATTCAAGATTTATATGAAAGTCATGTTAGTACAAAAAATCCTTCCGCCACTGAATTACAACCTACATCATTGCTTATGCGTTTAACCGAGGATGTTATACTGGATGGTAATGCTAAAGATAATTATGAAGTTGTTTTTACTGTAAGTTAAATATGTAAATGTGTTATTTGTAAAATTTTCTATAATTTTCTCGCATTACTGTAAATTTTGAACTTTTCAAAGTTTCTAATAAAGTAATTTGTCAAAGTCTGTATGAAAAAACGGATATAATGCTAAGCAGTTTTCTCTATAATTATCGCAATTAATGGTTACACACTTTGACCAGCATTGTTTATAATCGATCATAGTGACGCAATTGCATAGATTCGTTGGCTACTTATAAAGCTTGAGTTTCAAAGTTATTATATTCTCTTTATTCCGTGGATTGATTTTTCTCGTATTATATTTTCCAATATCTAATCCTTTTATCTTGTTAAATTACTGTTAGTCTATTATAAGGTATGACAAATTAAAGTAATACAGTCAGTCAGTCAGCTACAACGTAGGACCAGGCATATATATATATATATATATATATATATATATATATATATATATATATATATATATATATATATATATATATTGGTCCAAGCTGCCACACATCATTAGTACAACAAGATGAACACCGAATTCATAGGGGTAGCTACTTCAATGGTAGTAATAAATAAAAGAAAGATTGTGTATAAGGATATGACACAGGGAGAAAGAATTAGTTCGTAGGATGAATGATATAAAGCGATTTTAACCTCACAGTTTAAGGGAAGACAAAAAGCGTATACACCGACACCATTTTGATCTATTCTGAGCCATGTCACCCATAGTCTCCAACAATTGGTTACGATAGTCACGCGGACCACAACCAAGTAGTCTGCATCTACCAACATGGCTAAGACTAGAAGTTAGTGACCTCAAGCACTGATATCACGTTTTGAATGACCGCCCCTAACTTTCTCTCGAACATCCCCACCACTAGTTAGCATTGAGTATCTGTCAGGTTATAAGCTGTAAATTCACATCTTATGTCCTACTTTCAGTTTATATAAATGAACTAGGGTAGTTTCGGAACAGTTTGTAAGGGGTTTACAACTGTCAACTGTTGTGATAAATCTTAATGTGTGAATTGCAATTTGAGGTGTTTCATCTACAAGATTTCACCATACAGGTTAGTATCGTAAGTTTCCTACACGGCGCATATTTAGTGTCGGAGTTGAACTATATTTTAAGTTCCGGTGTTGTTTGAGTCGATATTAATGTCTGTCATACATGGATATATTTCAAGCCACTTTTATTCTCGAAGCAAAAATCTTTAATTCTGCATTTAACTAAAATGCAGTAGACTGTCCGATGAACAACGAAGTGATAACGTTGTTTATTCGGCTAATCAAAGCTTGTCAAGTGAATTAGTTGAGGTGTGGCTCGATGACTTGTATTCTCAGTTATTTATTGTTTCGTGGGATATTATAGTTCTTTTTTATCTGCTTCGGCTCACTAATCCTCAGAAAACAACTATTGTGAATTAAAACCTTGTACATTGGCTTTCGATTATTTATTTAGTTGTTCTATACTTTTCTATGCAGCTTTTATGTAATCACACTTTTTATAATTTTCATTTCACAGAATCTCGACCCATTCAAATACAAAGAAAAACGTATACTACTACTCGTCACATTGACTCGTATTGGACCGATGCATTTAAAGCGTACGAAATCAGGTGGAAAGTCTATAGCATTAGGTGTTAATGAAAATAAGTCACAACAACCGAATTCAATGTTAAAACGTCCAGTCGGCGTTGCTTGCCTGGATATAACATCTTCAATTTTACCGTATTTTAGTCGTTCCTCCCAGTTATTTGATTGGGGATCTGGCAAAACAATAAAAGATGACAATTCTATATTGGATCATAAACGTATTGTGAATTTCAAATTGTACGTAAATGTAACAAAAAATGTCACTTTTTATGTCTGCTTGTTTATATTCATGTTGGTTTTTTGGACGAATCATTTTTCGGTATGTGTTATGCATCCCTAACTACCGTCTACATCGACAAGCAATGTTTGCTGATGTTGGAAGTTGGAAGAAAGCCAGGAACAGCTAAACGAAAACAAGGCATCACTATGAAGTCATTGACTGTTGGTTTAAGCCATGTTGGTAGGTGCAAATTATCCGGTCGGAATTTTTGCAACAACTGTAATCAATGGTTGAAGAGGCTATGTGATATGATTCACAATCTGTCACAATGACTCTTGTCCATTCACCATTTATTCTGGTTTAGATCTCGAGCTTCGTTATTGATCCATGCATACGCTTTTATAGTCCTTTCAAACCACACTCTCAACACTTAATCTTTCTCATTTTCATTGCTATTGGATTATTTTTATTTCCTTGCTATTAGTCTTGTCACGTTAATATGGTGTTTTATGACAAAGTGGGCCAACATATATTTGTGTCTGGCTCTATGTTGGCTATAACTGGCTTAGATAGTCATGCACATTCATATCGTTATCTGTTCAAGCTTGCAAGTTTTTACTACTAAAAAGTACTTCCTTGAGTTTGATTTAAGCAGAAAATCATGTAGACCTACTATCGAAAATTCCAGGAATTCAGCATGAAAGTTGTTCAGTAATACTTGATTTTCCGATAATTTTCAATACACTACAGTATTTTCATTATTACGTAAGTAACTGTTAGCTGAATAGAATCTTAACTACTGTATGCTGAGTACAAGTCGAAATCATAATACTCTGGTTGACCCATGTTGTTCAACCAATTAGTGCCAACGAATGACTCGATAATATACCACAAGTATCCCCTTCAGATTTTCTATAAATAATTGTGTTTTTATTACTTCTGTTGTTTTGTCTATTTGGAATATATGCTATCCTCTTCTTCTATCCTTGTTCTAATTTGGGACTAGTCGAATGGAGTACAATGTCAAAGTAATATACCAGACAATGGGAACGTGACAGTAACTATTTAACTAACCATCTAACTTAGGCAGCGAAATATTTATTGTAATTTCCAAATCATTGTTACTTAATTTTCGTCCTGAACTGTGATTTTGTAAGACGTTTCCGATTAATAAGATTGTCACTTTGTTTCTCGAGGATTTCATATGTTCATATTTCTCCACATTTATCAATCAGTTAGAAAATGACTAAATATATGCACTTGGCATAGACGGTCTATACACCACTACTGAATTGCACCATTTTTAAAAAATATTTTTTGATCTTCACATAGCACAACCTTAGCCATATTGATAATTTAATGAACACTAATGACACATGACAGTTAATGAATACCTAAATAATCATATTATCTCATTTCAAACTAATTTTAAATAAACTATTTTAGAACTGGTGAACAGTTTTTATCAGAAGCGTTATTACGTGCAATCAACGATACACAAGTTTTATCTTGGAGTAACAATCAAAATTCAGGTTATCCTGATATGGATTTAACAACAATTTTAAGCATTCCAAGTATTTCATTGGATTCGTCAGAAGTTCCAAAATTAGAAATTAATGAAATCACAGTATTAAATCCTTTAGAAGGTCATGTAAGTTGATCACTGTTCTTTTTTTCCCTTCTTTACATACTCAGTTCAATAGTGATGAATACTGAGCGGTTACTTTTAAAACATGGTGGTTGTAAATGCCGATAAATTTCCATTCTTTATAATAAAATGAGTCTCAAATCATTTTATTTCGTACGTTATAAATAAATATACAGTGGTGATGAAAATTTATTTAGGTGATTGGTGTTTCAGCGTAGCTTATGAAGAATATCACAGCTGCGATACATTCTAATTGTCAGTTGAGTCCATTCTGTGTGGTTGAAATTCCACATTATTTTCTAACTCAGTAATTAACTGGAAAGTATTGATTAATATTCGATTGGGAGTAAAAAAAAGTAGGCTTGAAAACTTGTTGACTACTACTCGGCCATTCGATGTAACTCCGATTTACTATCATCCAAGTTACTTTACAGTTCCTAGTGTCTCAGACATTGCTGAAATACCTTTCAACAGACTGTGCTAAGTTAGGGATCAGTTACGAAGTTTTAAGCGATGTTGTATTTCAAATAGCTAACAGAGATCAGTAGCGCGAACAGACACAGTGTACAATTGAAATCAAGGGAAGAGTGTGTACACAACTTGATCAGTATTACATATAAACAAATTGTAGAATATTCAAGCATTCAATTAAATGCTTAAGGGTATACAAAACGAGACTACATATAATACAGACAAACTAAAAGCAGTTTACATTGATCAGTAACAATGACACTTATAATATTATCAGAAAGTTGATAGTTCTTTTGTGTGATACTACAGGATTCCCCTATTGGAACACTGGGATATGATGGTAAAGAGGTGGTGACTGACGTTGAAGTGCTCTAAAATGATTCTAAAATATTGAAGCGATGTACACCCAGTTGATGAGTCCCAAATAGGACGAAACGCGCATTTTGGGTTCCACTGCTAACCACTATCAAAAATTTGCTTAAATATGATTGCGACTTAATGGCACTATTGAGCCGATTCGCTTAATACATAAATATATAACATGACAACAAAAAAATGAGGAGTATGCAAAAAAATGTGTAAAGAGAAACAATGAAATGTTCTCAAAGGTCTATGAGTGTTAAAGTAAGTTAAATAAAAAAATACATTTATATTAACACGAATGGATTGTAGGTTAACAGTAATATACTGATTATTTCGATAGAATCAAGTATAGATATGCCAACGCAAACATCTCAGGAGATATTAAATAATGACATCGTCCACCGAATATTTTGGTTAGTGAACTCGTCTGTCTGATTTAGTTCCTGTTTGGAGCGTTAGGGCGATGCAAGTTGTGGTGTAGTGTTGTTTGTTCTGTTTATATCTAAACCACCCATAAATGCGGGTTTTTCTACCGACATTCACACGATGGAAATCACTTTTACACCTCTACTTGGACCTGTATGTAGACCATCAGAAGATGGTTGCATTGGTCACGAGATAACATACCTTTTGATGAGAACATGCGTACAATTAGGTATTTGTGGTGGGACATGTATGTTTTAATGTTTTCTTTGCGAAAACGACATATTCAATTCATTTACATACTTTTATAACAAGCTGTACTTAGTTAAATCATTCGGAACGTGTTTACTTGAGAAAAATAATTCTCTGAGTAACCGATAAGTAGCTCCGTAAACTGACTCTGAGGTGTAGCATCCAATGTCTTTCTTTTTCCTTGATCTGATTACCAGAGTGACTGATGAGTTTTTGACAGTTAGAACAGTAGTGAGTGTGACTTGAAGCTGTCGATCCAAACGTTCCACTATTTCGTTAGATATCGTGCGGTATGTTGTTTTATGAATTTTGCTAATTCCAATCAGCCTAGTGAGTTTTCGTAACAGAGAGCTTTCGAGCGCTGCCCCTCCGTCGATGTTGATTACCGATGCTAAAATGCACTTTGGCGAGGCAGCTACTGACCAGCATGTGAACTTGTCTATGCAAGTGAAAATGTGACTGAAATCATTAGGTGGTAATAACCACCCGACGATATGGTCAAGCATGGTATTGGAATGGGTCGTTGCTATGTCGGTAAATTGTAACTTTTTGACAAGTGGTCCATGCCTGGGAACAATTGTAAATCCCGGTTAACGTTAGGTCAAACAAAAAGTTCAGTAACTGGTATAATGATGGGGTTTATTTATGGGTGGGATATTTTTTTCATATTAACAGAGATGCAGCATCTCATAGCTTGCAACACAGTGGCAAGATAACTTGGGAAGATAGCTACTTGAAATCAGATCGATTTACTGGGAAGCCGGTGTATCTTCTATATGCCATCATGTTATTGGTGAATTATGTTATCACCACTAATGAAGCTTTATTATATGAGGGTTATCTGGGAATCCATCTAGGAAGACTTACGGAACTAATGTACATGTAAGTAGTCGACCTATCTGTTTGTTCTTCTTACATTAAACTTCAACTTGGATTCAAATTATCAGCGATGTTTCAGTTTGTATATGATATTATGAAGGTTTACACTATAGACCAAGTGTAGAAAACCATTATGAGTTATGAAGCTGTAGGTAGCTGTTTTGGTCTAGTATAAGACAAGCTAGAAGTACTTATTCACTAACCCATTAGGGATCAAATTTCGGTCATTCAAATAAAACGATGAACACTATACCTTAGGACTATTAAGTTGGTATGTCTACCACACTTTCTAATTTTTCTCTTGATTTGAATTCAAGACACTAGACCATACATTTAGATAAAATTGATTATTACTGTTCACTGATTTCTAGTAAAATAAAAGATCTATTAGACTTGGTGGACTAAGTTTTAAATCAATTAGAAATATCAATAATTTACTTAATAGTAAGCTAAAGTGTTTAAAATGAATGAAGCTACGTAACCAAATACAAGTCCGTGTACACTCAGCTTGGAATTATTCAGTTATCTATGAAAGTCATAATAACACTTACTATCTTAATGTACAAACTGAATTATGTAGAGATTAGTCTGTCAACCTAAAATCAACTATTAATCTATTATTTCACATTAAACTCTTTCAATAGCCAGGTAGGCAACTTATAAAATTTACTTTACTAAGGTATAAGACATACCTTGTTTTTATCATGACAGCTGATTATTAATCAATGACTGTAAAATTAAAAAAAACACAACTCAGAAAACAATAAAGGTGTGTAACATTAATGGAATTGATATTTATTCCACTTGCCTCACTGTTATTATTTTCCTTAGTAATTCAAAGTTTTTACCTATGAATAAGTTTTTTCTTTAATTTTTGACATCAATTGTGTTTTGTTTATATTTTCATGTAAATTGATCAGTTCACTTGTAATGATCATTGGCTAATTCATGTATTTAATGAATTAATGTATATAAATATATATATGTATAAATTAACCTACTAAGTACAAGTTTATATTATTAGACTTTGAGCTATACAAGTTGTGTGGAGGTTAATGATACGACCCAACTGACTGCATAAACCGTTATTTGTGCATAGTTTTAAACTAGGCTTGATAATCCAATTATTATAGGAATTGTTTAATATAACTCGATACTTACATCTTCATTTTATTCTGAGTGAGAAAAATCAATTTGTGAAAACTCAATCGTTTCGAGATCATTTAGTTTATTATCCTTTTGGATATGGATATATGATTAACTTACATTTACAAATTAGGAATGACTCGAAGTAATACATGTGTATCCGCACATGATTGATGAAATGTATTCTCCATGTTCTTTATTTAACGAATTAACATCGCTAAAAATTACTTAGAGATGATAAAAAACGACTTTTGCAAATCATACGAGTTATTGAGTAGCTATGGTAAAAGTCGAATTTCAACCAATATGCTGTAGATTAGAAGTTCATCTATCTCTACTTCAATTTAAGAAGTGCTGAGTAGAGTAATTCTAGCACTCAAACAAACAGTATACTTAACAGAAATGTACATGACCATTTATTTGATGTGTCAAATTGAATTAAAATATTTCTGTCAAATCATTCAGCTAACCTTGTGCCTGTACTTATAGCGAGGTCTCATTTTTCTTCATCTCCTAGTCCACTAAAACCAACAGGTAACAGCCATATTTTGCCTGATGTTATGTTTCGATAGATGACCAAATAATATTTTGGTGATTTGCTGTCTGAGTTGAGTGGTTTAATCGTGAGGTTTTCGTTATCCTTCTGGACAGTGTCATCAGCACAAACTTCAGGTAGAAGTGAGATTTTTCAAATTTTTCCACACATGACTGACAGCTTTTTCTGTGGAAGTTGCTTTTTATTGGCTATTGTCGTTGTTGACCGTTGTCCTGTTGTCTGCATATTTATTCTGAATGTTATCCATTTTTTTGACTTGAAAGTTGAACATGTAGCTAATTTACACATCTTCAATATTTCAAAACTCGAACATAATTTATGATTATTTTTTGCCTTTTCGATTCATACATTTTGTGTATGTTCTCATCGAATGTAAAGATGTGTTTTCTGATCAATTTTTATTCTTTTTTTTCCTTTAAAAAATAAATTCAATGATTTATTAATAAATAATATATGCTGAAAACAATCGAAATTTATTATATCCAGCCATTCAATCGTGATGCATTATATGTACGTCGTTATGCATCACCTTACTTTAATGATCCTACAGTTATTAATAATAATGGTGTAACTCAACCACGACGTGAACTTTATGTTACTTTAATTTCTGGAAATTTCTCTAAAGGTAATAAAACTAGAGAGCATAATATTGAAGTGGAAGTCAACGTCGTAGATAGTAATGGGAATTGGGTAAGTATAATATTCATTAATGTTGCTTATTGTTATTATCTATTATTAGTTCATTAACTAGTTACAGATTTGTGTACTCAGTTTTGGATTACAGTTTTTGCGTGTGGGGGGGGGACCTGATGATACCTACTACTACTCGGTCAGCGAAACCAAAGTAGTTGGGGCAGAGTTCGAATACTCAGCTTAGGTGTTGGTGTCGAACGCCTTAACTACTGACCCACCGTTGCCTTGTTGTTTTACTTTGTCCGGTGTTTATATGGAAATGTTAGTCTTACACTGATCAATAATATATATAGTGTTATAGAATGTATATTTATATATAAAGAGAGTGCGATAGGTTCTAGTAGTGTTGTTTTTTTTGGTAGGTGTTTTAATTACATAGTTTTTATTGTTGTTCTAAGCATTATCGACCAGACTAATGATAAAAGCTTCACGTTGAAACCACCGAGCTTGGAGAATCTGAAAGTGTACAAAACATATATATGCGGCAAAAAAACTCATCTCTACCGTGTATAAAAATGGTTCAATTAATATTTGTTGAGTTGGTGATCACTGTACCTAGATAGGTGTTTATTTGTTATCGCACCATCAGTGTCAATTGACTCATTATTGTTTCAAGAGTTTTTGTTTACGTTTATTTCTACTGAATTCGATTTGATTTTTAACAAATTCGTCTTCACTATCCCATTGGATTCATAAAAATGTAAATGACCGAATTGAATATCTCCTTGCTAAAGTAAATTCTAGATTAACTCATGGAATAGTATCGATATGACCAATTTTTATCGTTTAAAAGGTTCTCATTTGAAAATATTATATGTCACGACACGTTCTCTTCTTGTCTTGGATTGTTGGATATTTGGGAGTTCATTAATTTGCTAAAGTTTGCTAAGGTCATAGATTATATTTTAGTTTCAATTAGTTCTGTTATGATAATTCACAAATGGGAGGAGAAAGGTATTAACTTCAAATTTATCAAGTTGATAAATCCTCAATTACGGCTTTTTCAAGGATAATGAATCCTCAAATACAACATTTAACAAGAAATCAACTTTAAAATTCATATATTGTTTTAAAGTAAATTCTGCTCATTGACTCTCTTTGTATTTTCATTCCCTGATTCTTTGAATCTAAGTCATAACTATTGAATTGATAAATTCTGTAGATAATAATCACTGAAGTTAATCGGTATGTAATTAACTTAAAGTGCATGTCAAGATAATGTTCTTTGGTAGTTTCTAATAAATTTTTTTTAAAACAAGGTTTGTCTTTTGATGTAGTTGGGACTAGAAATGAAGAGAGCTGTTGTGTATCGTGTACAAATTGTGATTCGAGTTATTACTGCTATCTCGCTCTGTAACGAACTTACTTCTTGTAGTGGAAGCTTAGCTTTTGGTAATCTTAATTAAAAAATTGTTACAATCTGGTCATATAAGTTAGTTATAGATTATTATTATGTATTATGATCACTCGAAATTTTTTTACTTAGAAATGATAATAAGGTGGCCAAATCAAGATAGGACATCAGCCTATAAAGTCATTGACTTTTGAACTGATAGATAAATTTAGACTACTACTTGGTTAGGGTTGGTGTGATCATATTAACCAGTGATTAGAGCTGTTAAGTGACTACATGGCTGAAAAATCGATCATCATGATGCAAACGCATCCACTCTTTGTCTTTCCTTAGATCCTGAGTTTTTAAAAATGATGTTATACTTTTTATTCCGCGTATTCATTCTCCCCGAATTATGTTTATGCTTCTGATACTGTTACTACTTCGACTACTCTAGTATTTGTCTTGATAATTTAATCTCACTCTACTGATATGGTGTGGCAACTTGGCAACGTTGCACGTAACTGACTGAATTACTAGTTGAATAAGGTAACTTCTAGAATGCTTTTTTAATTAGTGATAGTATGAATTCGATGTATTGTAAATGAATCTATTTTACTTGTGTTTACTTCATTGAAAGTTTGTAAATGAAATGATATTTAAAAAGATTTTAAACTTCGGTAGTCATTCATTGACTAAATGTATGTTTCACTTAATAAAACAAAGCTCTTAATTATTTACAAGAATATAGTATAAACTCAACATGAATAGAGATTCAATAATAGCTGGCCAACTAATTGGTGCTATATTTTATACGTGAAAGTTTATAAATATATGGAACTAATCAGAAATTTTGGTTATTCTTTTCTGTTCTATGCGACGGAATTCTATATGAATTCTAGTATTGTTGAATTCTATCTCAGTAGATATCTGTAAGGAAATTGTAGGTAGTATCCACTGAATATTACTTATTTTTGTTTCACATGTATCGTGAGAATTTTGTGATAATACTTTAGGAGTTATCAAAGGGCTGTGGCACTAGAAAGCATTTATTTGTCTTAGGGCACTTACCACACTCCTGGTGTTTTGTTGCGGGGTCCAATCCATAAAATGACGACTTAATAATGTTAGAAAAGAAGATTTAGTTCTTCTGGTGATAGCTGGTAATAAATGATCGTCCATACTGATAAATCTGACTGAACACTTGAATCGGCTTCCTAAGCTCTCATAATAACCCCAGGTTAACTTGACACGACTACGTAAACACATGAGGAAAGGCGCGAAATACAGAAAGAACGCTTTACTCCCATCCTGGTTTTGGTTCATAATTTTCAGTGCCTTCATTTCACACTTTTGAACACATCTCTGCTGCATGAAAACAGTAAGATTATTGTGTACGAGATCATAGAAATGCAATCCCACGAGAGCGTTTAGTAAAGAAGAGTTGAGTCTTATCCTCCACAATACTAGGACATTTAAAGGGGAAAGATGAAAGTGACTTCTAGACTAACATTAAATGCTTGGTATAACAATAACAGTCGCTTGTTTAAAACCATATAATATGTAGTTTATGTTGAAATGTCTTTTCACAAAATATAAAACACTGCAACAAACCCCTTTATGGATGTGAAACGTGGCCGTTAAGAACAGACGATATTTGTAGGTTACTAGTACTCGATCATAGGTGTTTTCGAAGTATTTCTTTTGTATTTTTGGACTATAGAGTAAGCAATGCTTGGGTTAGTAATAGGATACTAGGCAAGAATGGGAAATCGACTAATGAGGTCATAAATCTTCATCAACTGAGGTGGTTAAGACACGTGTTATATATGCCCAACCACCGCCTACTTCAACGAGTGATGTTTTCTGGTGTAGAAGTAGGCTGGAAGAAAGTCAAGAGCAGCCAAAGCAAAGCATGACGTCGGTCCATGTAGTCACTGACAATCGAACTTAGCTATGTTAATAGGTGTAGACTACCTGGTTGGTGTCCGTGTGATTATCTTAACCAGGGGTTAGAGATTTTGAATGACAAGGCTCAAAATCTTTTGCAATGGCTCAGGTGCATCCGTTCTTTGTCTTCCCTCAAATTCTGAAATTCTAAATTCCTCATAACTTTTTGTGTTTTTATCTAAGTAATTTATATTTTCGTGAATTGTATCTTCGATCCCTAGTCTTTTCTATTACTACTGATACTGTTACTACCTCCACTATGTTGGGATTTGGCCTGACAATCTAATCTCTCTGTGCAAATGGGGTATGGAACCTTCAGCCGACGTACATAAGTACCAGGTTCTATGTTGTGACTGACTGAATAAACCCCTAGTTCTACATATATGTGCAAACATTTTGCTATCAGTGCTGCTACTATGACACTTTACTTTCACAATATATTTGTCGCATGATTTTTATTGTAAAGCATCACTCACTTCATCAAACAATAGACAAGACGAAATTTATACACGTCACTGTTATATTTCTGTTTGAATTTTTTTCAGTAGTAAACATTGTGAAAAGTTGTCAACCGTTGACAAAAGACTTTGAATACAGTATAAAATTTAAATAAATACATGAATAATTAAAAACAGTTGAAAAACGGACAACTGTATCATAGTATTTTCACTGTTGAAAAAAATAAGTCCCAAAAACTTGTAAACAGGCCACCAGATATATGAGATTCAAAGGATTATTATTATTGTTTTTAGTCAAAGAGATTTAACTGGTTCCTTAGTGAACTACTTCAAGATGTTCCTAAAGTTCTGTCTGAAAGTTGTGATTGGTGGAGCTCAAATATGTTGGGAATAGAACGGCTGTTGTTCACCGTGCGACCTAAATGTCCAGCGTTAAACCCTTGGTAGGTTCGTGGGTGCACACTTCTGAGGAGTCCCATATCAGGACTAAACAGCTGACTAAAGCTCCCTAATCTTTTGCTGGTGCTCAATGTGATGAGATCAATCTATGACAAATATAACCTGCACATTATTTTAATCTATCATTGATTGTTTTTCCTAATGTGATTTAGATAAAAATAAACATTTCATATTTCACTCTTCTATTGTTTAGTTAAATCTGAATAACTCACCTGAACGTTTATCACCTGTACACAAATCAGTCGTATACTATCACAAAAATCAGCCATATTGGAGTGAATTATTTATAATCAATTTACCATACTCACCAATTGAATCCTCTTGTGTAACAACAACAATTGATGATGTGAATAATAATCTTGATCGTGATAATAATAATAACACTGAACGTTCTAGCCATGAGTCACAGCATCAACAACAGTTATTCAGTGCAAATCCAACTTATCCTGGGATGTTAGCTGGTGTACACTTGAGACTTTTATGTCGTCATCGATCTACTGGACCGGGTGGTAAGTATAGTAAAGTAATGAATAATAATAATAACAGCAATCATTAATTATTATTATTATTATGCCTAAACACTGAGTAGTTCACACAACCTGTTGGTAGTTGAATTACTCTCCACAAACCCTCTGCAGTAATAATATACATATGCTTACTAGTGACTAACTTCGAGGTGTAACTACTGAAGTTCTAGTTAAAAACTATGACTATTGGAGTTCAACCATGCAAGTTGTGTGGCAGTTACTCATTAATGGGATTTGAACAGTATCTCAAATTGATTGAAGTTAGACGTGTAAACCACTGGATGCTAGCCCAGTGGTCTAAATGTTAAGCGCTTTCTTTGAGAGCTGGGTTTTGGGTATGTATTACTGACGAGTCTCATATTGAGGCGAAACAGCTCTTTCTGGTTTTCCAATGAACTGTTGAGTTAAAAATCAGCAAAATCGCAATGTTTGTTTGATTTGCTAAATTACGTTTTTGGATCATTGCTTATAGGGGATTAAGGCACCAAACAGTGTTATGCTTAATCATGAAGATTTGCAGGATGTGCATATATCATATGACAAGGTTGAAATACACTGTTTGTATGAAATTGACATATATATCATATTAATATTCCACTATCTCTGCAGCGTAAGGTGATATTGTGTGATGTTGAATTAACATGTGGAAAATGAGAAGTATCGAAAAAGCCAACTAAAATATTTGTAACTTCAGTTTGCAGAAATATCGACTTTTAGATGTGTATCGTATGTTAGGAATGTTTATTTACTAGTTTATCTCATTAGTATGATTAACATCAATGACTAGAGAGAAGTTAGGTGATTCTTGTAGATTGATATTTGTATGATGAATGTGTAATTTATGATTCCTGTTGAGCCAGTCAGTCATTCAGTCATGAATAAAATAGAACCTTTGGAACAGTGTTCATTAATTAAAGTTACTATCTTTCAACTCACTATAACGAGAGAAAAAATTAACAAGTTAAGAAGCAAGATAATGAAAGTGACAGTAATATGTTAGGCAGTTTAAGGTAGTTGATAGAAAAATCTGAACTCAGATTTCGTGCTAGTTGACTCTTGTCGCCATGGGGTACATGTAATGTTGAAGGAACAGTTACTATTATCTGGTGGATTCTAACTTGCCAAGTTGAATTACTAATAATAATGATAATGGATGACCACAAAAATAGACAATGCTATTTAAAAAAGTGAATCATATCCGTAATAAGCTAACAAAATCAATCCTATTTCACAAGATTATAAAGGCCTACATCTGTCACTATGGCCAGTTTTTAGTTATTTCCTTTAATAGTTCCGGCTATAAATGATGATTATTTCACTGGTGGGAAAATAAGTTTTATTCTGTTCCGACATAGATACCTTTCCAACAATTACTTCATCATCTGTCGTGTAGTAGTTTATGCGAATCTACTCCTGTTCTGTCAAATATAGTTCGTTTAGATAAATAATTGTTGAACTTATGTAACACATATGTCCAGATCGTCAAACTAGATGAAATTTCACAGTCTCATAAATTGAATCATTATCTATACCAAGTAACCTAAGCATAATCCCTCTTTATTACTTACTCATTGATTTCACCATACACAAGTAATATTTCAATGATATTTTTTTAAATTAAAAACTACTAGCAAAATATGGATAACATACAGTAGTCAAAGACCATGTTTTATCATGACTTTGTTTTACTGTACCACTTCCTTCTTTTTTTTAACTCCTTCAAAGTAATGATAATGATGAATTCGTTTAAATTACATTTTGTCAAATTCTTATTTACCGTCCCAATTTGATTTGTTCACACATGAACAAATAATCAGTGAAATTTTATGTTGATCATTTAGACTTTAGTTGAATATTTGTTTATATGCATATGTTACTAGATGTTCAGTCATCTTAATTTGTTTACGATTCAATAATAATAATAGTAACAATAATAATAATAATAATAATAATAATAGTAATAATTGTAATGATGATAACAGTTGTAGCAGTGTTTATCAAATGACGTAAGCTGAATATGTGTACTTTTTTTTCCATCGATAGAATTTACAATCTAGTGTAAGTATGATAATGATTTTCATCGAGTTTAATTTCTGTGGTTTGATAAGAAGAGGTTAAATTAGAAATTAATAATTTAACCTGTTGGTAAATGTATCGCGAAATTTATCCATCAATATTTGGATTTAATGCTGCTGAATAATATTAGCGACTAATGAATTAAGTCATTGGACAACTAATCGGCATAAATCATTCAATTTCTTCTCCATTATGATTTTCATCTTGGATAAAAATTGTATATTTCTAGTAATTAATAATTCTTCACAAAAATCACGAACTAGATTTTATGTACTGAGATTCCTGCTGATTATTATGACATAAGTAAATTATTGGGGTCCGAGGTAGAAATTGTTTTATTTGATGCCGATCTAACTTCATCCTTATAATCACACTGATCTACGTGGTCATAACATTTATGCTGACATTGGATCAGTTACAAAATCCTGTTTGAAATATTCCGACTGGCGTCCAGTTTTCTTAATTAGTAATTTCCTCCCAATTGTTTACTAAACGATTGTCATATTGATATGATTGAGTTAAGTCAGCTGTAGGACCGCTCTTACAAATAATTATACTACAGAGTTAGTATTGGTATTGTGCTTCAGCGAATAATTCAAATCATCATATTAATTTATTTTACATTACTCCTTTTACACCTCGTTGAGGAGCGTAGGCCGCCCACCAGCATTCTCTATCTAACCCTGTCCTGGGCAGTCTTTTCCGGTTGCCTCGAATGGTTATTCATTATTTTGATGTATGCAACCAATTCGCTACACAGTGCTTTCTTTGGTTTTCCTCTTTTCTGTTTTCCTTCAAGATTCCAAGTTAGCCCTTGCCTCGTGATGCAGTTTGCTGATTTCCGAAATGTATATCCTGTCCCACTTCCAACGTCTTTTCCTAATTTCCTCTTCAAATGGAATCTGGTTTGTTCTCTCCCATAGCAGGCTTTTTGCTGATGGTATCCGGCCAACAGACATTGAATATCTTACCCAAACAATTGTTTACAGATACTTGTACCTTTTTGATGATTGTTGTGGTAGTTCTCGAAGTTTCATTTTCGTACAGTAGAACTGTCTTGATATTCGTATTGAAGACTCTGACTTTGATATTAGACTTTTGTCCTTGCCTTGTCAACACTTGCCTCCTTGTTCATCGATGATGCTGTTGACCAGGTACATGAAAGACTCCACCTCTTCTAGAGTTTATCCATTAAGTTTGATTGGGTTGGTGTTCTCTGTGTTGTATTTGAGGATTTTACTTTTTCCCTTGTGTATGTTGAGACCTGCTGATCCAGAGGCTTCTGCTACAGTGGTTATCTTCATCTGCATTTGTTGGTGTGTATAGAATAAAAGGGTCAGGTCGTCTGCAAAGTCAACTCTCCCAATTGATTTTGAGATGTGCATTGTATTCCGTTCTTCCCGTCAGATGTTAGAGGTCTTCATAATCCAGTGAAATACCCGAAGAAAGAGAAATGGTGAGAGTAAGCGTTCTTGTCTGACACCAGTCTTCACTTGGGATGCGTCTGTCAGCTGTCCTCCGTGCACCACTTTGCAGTGTAGTCTGTCATATGAATTCCGTATTATGTTGACCTTCGTCATTTAATAACAAAATGGAATTGCGTAGAAAGTGTTTAAATTATTTACAGAATGATTAGCAGAAATAAAATTAATAAACAGTTACTGCATTAGGTATTATGCAAAATAAATAATTTTGTTGACCAGATTGTTAATGTGTAAATCCGTTGTATTATAAATGACTCATTTTAAGGTAACATGTTGATAGTTCTATATTCCATCTCTTGGGATTTAATGTGACCATGTACTACTCTGAAGTTTCCAATATAAATCAAAAAAATTTGTTCATTACTCTCTAATTTTAAATGATTCTCCTTTGCCCCAAATGCTCTTGTACGGCCGAGGGTGGGGCGGGAGTGTTGGTTACGAAATTGAGAGAGCGAAAAGCCAATGTCTGCCGCTTTAACCGGGTTGTCGGATAGGGAGGATCCACCTAGGGGAGTTGGAAAACTCTCGTCCCAAACCACTTGTGCACATGGGCTCCAGGTTTCTAAGGAAACAAATGGCGTATTAACCAATTGTTGGTCACCTGCTACCACGAGACTGCATCTCTTTACGGTGCTCCACTGCTTTGTGGATTAAACCTTTAGGTCAAAGGCTCGATGAGTGACCTCCCTAGAAAACCATCTGTTTCGGTTCGGGCACCCGGACATTATCCTAGCCCTCACACAAATCTAATGATTTATGTGGCGCATATCTATGTGGTGCCTCCTAGTACCATTGTTTATGTTTAAATAAATAAATTAGCCAATATCAATCTATAATGAAAATTCTTCCTTTAAAAAAACGATGACCAATTGAATGAAATTGAATGTGTAAAAACGTAAATAAACTTCGAAAGGAATATAGGACTATATATCTGAAGAATAGTTTCAAACCAAAGATGAAACTAGATTACTATTGTCTATTATTGTTACTCTCTGTTGATTAGTCTAATCATAGCATAAGAATAGAACTGCTATTTTGTTACAGCCAAACTTTTAATTGATCTAGATTAAAAGTGTTTGTCTTTTAAATCCAATATCTTTAATATATACTTCTGTTGTCCATGGTGTAAACACACGCACTGTTTTAAAGGTGTGTGTGTTATTATAAATTAACATTAGCTTGAACGTGCATTTAAAGCTTGAGAGTGCTGTTGAATAACCGCTTTTTATCTTATTTTATAAACATCTCAGCAATATTCATCTACAACCCTAGATATGAATGAACCTCAAGATTTTCACGTTTCGTGATGTTAATACCATACTTCCTAGCTGTTGAATCGAGATTCATCATTCGACATTTCTGAATTCCAAACTATCTGCATTTCAATAAATCTTTCAACTGATATCAGTTTCCACTGAAAATCACCAAACTTTAATCAGTCACTATAAAACAAAATGAATAGATTTATTTGTTTCTACATAAAATATAGTAACAGAACAGTTGGGATAAAATGAAATCATGTTGTAATTTTGGATGGTGTTGTGTCAGGCTATGAAGCTGGGTTACTCGGATCCCATTCCCACAGGGAGCATCAATATCCTTAAGATTGTAGGTATGTCCTGCAGACGATTACGAAACAGCACGAAACTTACATGCAGTTTTTCCTGTTGACTACCTCTAAGCACTTAACATTTCAACACTGTTCACTTTATGACAAGTCACTTAGACTAGTGATCATGTCGTAATTTGATCGATAGAATTTGATTACTACTAAAAGACTAGACAAACATAACATTTCTACATACCCAGTAATCAATCAATCGAAATTGAGTTGCTCCCCAAACGGTAGCCAGTATAATCAAATGAATTTCTAACTTGTTTCAATTAATTCTTCAAACTAAATGTCCTCTTTCAAAAAGGTTAAATAAAAATATTTTCAACTTCCTGATATCCCAATCAATCTACTCGATTCGTAATTGTCGTAGACTCCCTACTTATCTTGTACTGAAAATGCTATGAATCAATTATATGGTATCGCCACATGTCTCATTGTTGAAACTATACTACCTATCACAACTAATGATCATTCTTTCGTTCTAATTAGTCCTCATTAATCAGCAGTATATTGAAAATCATGATTCAGAGTTAGTTTCATTCGATAAACAGCTTTTAGCTGGTTATTTTCTGTTTTAATAAATTCTGCAAAGTGTTTAATAATTACACCTCGTTTGTGTATATTTCATTGTAGATTCTGAAGGTAAAATTCTAGGAGTTGCATATTTACGACTCCAGCCGAATACATCTGTGCCAGTTCTTTTGCCTGATGGAGACTATCACCTGTATATACATAAGGTGTGTATAAACAACCATTTTTCCTATTAGGTTTTTTTCTTTCTTTTGATATAAACTTATTCTCATTAATGGAATAGATGTTGACAGCTACATGTAACCCGCTAGAAATGTTATCTTTCATGACAAGTTGTGTTTACTATGATGTGATCGGTTTTGATGAATTAACTATTCTCATCACTTATGGAAGTAGACGTATAAAGAAAATAGAAATCCCTTATGATTATTTATATCTGGTAAATATAGAACTTGATCGATGTTTAAAACTTTATGCGGGCATAAGCAGCACTTGCTTAATTTCTCTCTTGTTTTCTATGCATTGGTTATTATCTTCCCTTCAATTCGTTTGATATTGATCTTGATTGACTATTTTCACTAATTCTACTAATCATTTGTCATGATTTGTTGTTCATAATAAAATTATTGCACATTAGTAGATAGCATGTCTATTTAGCTAAAACTTTATCATGTAATAGACAAATATGATGATAATAATATGCAAATTATTGGGAATAGTGCATTTTTGACAAAAGACTTAATTGCGTTTTTGTCACAGTTATGGTTTGAAAATGATTGGTTGTTTGTCATCTGTCATTGTGACTGTGTATTTTCAAATCTCATAACGCTTGGAAATCTGTTTATCTGTTTTTCTCGTTTTGTGGAACAATTAGATGATAGAAGTGGTTCTGAACGACAACCTCCCTAAACTAACATTCTCCCTCTCTCTCTTCCTCTGGATGGAACTTTTGATCATGCTCTACTTCTAGTTGACTCAGTATGTTCGCACGATTTACCCAAATTTACTAAAACACCGACAGACTATGATTTGATTAGTAGTTTTGCATAGTTTATATCACTGGCTAATCTTAATCGAACCACAATTAAAAGGCAAGAATCAATTAATAGCTGTTTCATTCTACTGTGGGACTCCTTAGTAGTCAAATGTGAATCAATTATCCACCAATGACATCAGATGATTGCACAATGTTGCGAATTGATTGCACGTAGACTTATAAACCATTAGATGCTTGTTAATTTAGTGGTGTTCAGGCTAAACGTTCACTATGTGCCCTGAAAGTTCTGGGTTCTATCCACTGTGAGCTCGTGGATGGGCATTGCTGATGAGTCGCATATTTCACGTTAAGTTTAATTATCGTGAATCATCCAGGTCGAAGTTGCCGTCTTCACTTAATGGTTGCAGTTATATATCGTGATAACTCAATTGAGTTATACTAGTTGGAACGATTGTTCTTTTAGTTTCTGTCATGCCAGTCAGACAGGTTGGGGAGCCTTTAGACTATAAGTAGCAACTGGAGGTTTGTGGGTGAAGTTGTACTATCGCCTGTACAGACTTGTGATAATAGTAAGATATTCCCCTCAGGAATTTAGTTTCTGGAGTGACTCAAAGCTGACTAAAACTTCCACTTGGTAAGTAACTATCACTTATATATGATGTCCATATAGTCCATTATTCAACATCTGGTTCAGTTCAGTTGGAAATTTCTAAACTTAATATTCACACTATCCAACATGCAATATTTTGAATCTCAGATAATAATTATGAACTATTTGATACTATCATCATAAATGTGTTAACGTTTAGTTGCTAGATTGTTTAAAACTGAATTATTGGCATATTACTTTTTCTATGCAGTCAACTATAAACACTGTAAAATGCAATCATGTTAAGCGTTTTATGATCGACTTTCATGTAGATTAATGGATAAATTAAGTGTACAGGTTGATCGTAATTAAAATAATTACCCAGTGTTTCACTATGTCTGATTACTCATTTTCAGCTAATGTTATCTAATGTTTACAATTTTCGTTAAATGTTTGTTTTATCCAATAGTTTAAGTAGTTTTTATGTTCAATTAGTGAGTGAATGCTTCATATCAAGATGTAATTTGTATTCAAGATTTGGTTTCAAGCCATTTAAATTATCCACAAATGTTCGATGTGAACATATTCAGTGTATCGCAGTTTGATATGTTGGATAAAGAAGAAACACAACTATATTGAAAGTTATGACTTGAAATAAAAATTACACATTAATATACATCACTCATTCACTAAGTGGACGGAAAAATGACCAAAAGTATTCTTTCATCATAATACTAATTTACCCTTTTTTGTAACGCCTTTATTTGTACATTTACAGATGGATATGAATCAAGTGAATTCATGTCGTTATTTATGTCAACCATCTTATTGTGAAGATGATGGACCGATTGCTTATGGTTTAAGTAGTGGTTCGGGTTCTGGTTCCAGTTCTATTGGACTTAATACAATAAATTCAAATTCAAGTGGATTGAATAATATTCTATCGTTTCCTAACTTTTCAACATCATCATCGTCACGTAATCGCATGGATACATTACACATACAAACACTTGTTTGTAGTAGTTATCATACTACTGATGGTCAGTGATTAATTTGTTGATGTGATTATCGTAGAAGCGAGAAATTACTGGTTGTAACTAGAATGTACTGTACAGCAAAAGTGACTACTAACAAAAACATATAATTTCAATATCTCAGTTAGTATAAAATTATATTTCCGAGCATTTCGCGACTCTATGTAAGCCGCTTCTTCATAAAATAGATAAACAAACAAATTAAATTGACGAGGGATTTGTGGCGATTGTAGTATTTTCACAGGTGAAATTGCGAAGCGATTTTAGCCAGATCACTATTGAAAGCCCAGAATCACTGGACGGCCATTTTGTGAGAAGCCGTGATCAGTGGAGTTCAATCCTTGTAGGGTGTGAGATAGTTATCCACCGCAGGCAATGGATGATAGGTTGATCAAGATTATGGATTGATTGAAGCTGGACATTAAAACCGTTGGGTCCTGGCTTAGTGGTCTAGAGGTTAAGCGTCCCCATTCGAGACCGAAGTCTCTGCGTCCGATTCCCGCGTAGGGGGTCATAGATGGACATTGCTGAGGAGTCCCATACTGGGATGAAACAGACGGACAGTGCTCCCAGGTTCTCATTGGTTGTCTAACTTAAGTCGGTTCATGATTTCAACTGTGATATTAAATTAACCCAATTTCGAATAGTACATAGGAACAAAGCAAAAATATTTAATACAATAAATAAAAAACTGGGCTGATCAGGTCAATATCATGTCGCTGCTGTCGAGGTGATTTATATGAGACATGCTTGTGTATCTATATGTATCTTAATGGATGTGGAAAGTTAGAGTTGAATTTCTTTATGATAATAGTGTGAGATGTGGATTTAATCCAACATGGTAGCTCCTATGGATGCTTCAAGTTGGATAGATAGTGATTCTTCCTCTCACATTGAGGACAATAAGATTTAAAAATAGATGGTAAGCTTTAGCTACTAGCCTTTCGTTGTAGTTGGGTTAGTTTTTTCTATTTCGATATTTTTTAACATCGACTTGATGCTAATTGAAGATCTAATTTGGAGTTCTTCAAGTTTTAAAGGTGGTCTTTTTGTCCAACCTAGGTGTTCTTTGGCTCCAATCAGGATTTCACAAGATGACTCTGCAACAAAGAAGGCATCACAACTGACACACCCTTATCTGTAGACACAGTTCTGTTTTGACGTAAAGCGAATTTTATCCCTTATACGAATTAAATCATTTAGAAGGATAGTAGTTGTTTTGTTGTATGCTTTAATTCTGTGTTGCGTTAAGATTCTTTGGAGTTCTTATGTTATACCGTGACGGTATGGTAAAACTACGGTACTACTCCATGATATTTTATTCGAACTATTACTTAATAATGAGTTGCTTTAGTACATTGTGAGTAATATTCAGAGGAAAATTATCAGATGTTACTTATATACTTCTGTTTTCTTTACTTATCTTCTTCCAATGTTATGATCTTGGTTGTTGTTTTAAAAAGATTTAGAGCTAGAGGGACTTTGGCATTGAGTGGATGTACTGAATTGAAGTCAACATGATGAATAGTGTTGGTTTATTGTAGATGTTTAGATTTCTTCTAATTAAATAATAAAAAAATGAAAGCTCATTGTGTTCATTTTCACTTTTGTATGTGAATATAACGAGGAATCAGAGTGTATTGATCAGCGTAGAAAAAGTTGATAGGAAAGTGTTTTTCATTATGACAAAATTATCGTCCGTATATCTGAAACAAATCCGTGGTTTAATATCAATGGCGAAAGTATTTGATCCTGCATATGATATAAACAGGTTAGCTACAATCGGGGACACAAGGGGATCCCGTCGCCACTTTGTATAACATAAGGTAAATATGCTAAATAAGGTTGATTTTAAGTATAGTTTTAGGGATTTCGTGTTTAGACTGATGTTTAAAGGACATCTGATAGATAAAGTATAGTCATTCTCCAGTAAATCACTAATAAAGTCTAGGCACCTATCAATAGGTATACTGCGGTGTAAATATGCAACACCATGGCTTACCATAGTTTCATTCTTTTCGATAATTAATTCCGATATTTTTGACTTAAAATGATTATTATTAAGAAACAATGTCTACTTGACCGAAAACCTAGACAGCTTGCAAACAATTTTATCACATCTATGGTGGTCAAACCTAAGGATTAAACCTAAAATCTAACCACAAAAATAATAACTGCATAGACAAAAACTCGCGATAAATGAAGTAACCTGATTAAGAATGAATTTGAACTATAGTTACTAATGTAATCGATTTCCTCAATAATTGACAAATGCTTAACAATATAAACAATGTTTGAAGTTTTTTATAACGGACTGATTTTGGTTAAACAACTGTTGAAAATCAGAAAGCAGTGAACACGCTTTACGCATTGGAGTTAGGACACTTCATCATTGCACATGCAAGACCCTGTCAGGGATCTCGAACCTAGGAAATCGAGTTATCACAGAGACCACTTATTTTTCAAACCACTTAGTTAGCATTCGATGGTCTATATTTATAATTTTGTACAAGTTGCCACGTAACGCAACTATTTCCCATTGTTATCGGTGATATTTTTCTCACACTCAACATGGTTGGACTTCACTGATTTTTTGGGCTTCTGAATAGAACTTAGAAAGCTACCTCTCGAAGCTAGTCATTAGTAAACATATTTGTTGTATGGTGCTATGGGAATTATTAAGTTTGAAGTTTCACACCATAGTATATTCTCTTTTTTGTGTTTATATTTTTCATAAATTAGAAAATTTAACTAAAGTTATACTATGGCGCAATTATCAAGACGATATTATAATGTGTTTACATCAAGGTATTTATTTGTCCCGAAAAGATAATGAATTAAGAAAAGTAGGTCTTTTTAGTTTTAAAAAAAATGATTAAGATTATTTCTTCTTGTCAAGTACATTTTTTTCTTTTCGAACATGTCAACTAAAAAAGCATATTTTTCATTGTTGTGTATGTGAACAGAGAGAGAAGAAGAAAAAAAGTAATTACCTAAAGAAAAGATTTACAACAATATGCGATTAAATCTCACTATTTATAGTAAGGAAACGGATTTTGACTTTTATTGATGTGATTTACTTTACATATTTGGTCATAAACAACTTGAAGTCCTAGAAATCGCCCAGGAATAAGATAAAAAATTATAGATGATTTATAGGTTTGACCATTTGGATTATAGAACAAGATAAATACTGTGAATGTTCGAAATTCATTGAAATGTATTGGAAAATGCTAACGAATTGTTTTGTTCAACTTCTCTGGAGTTTTTCAAGAATATCGATTCAAGCTTTCTTACAGTTTCAACAAGAAACTTAGGGACTAGTTTGTACTCATGACACGGCGTATATATGATCTTGAATACCAGATAATGTAAATCCTTGATATAATGCTTCCTGCTCATTTCCTTTAACTACATAACATGAAAAATATAGTATACAATATGTCAAACCAGTTATTACTTTGGAACTTAATCCCAGAGTTCAATTAGCAGTATCGACTAGACAAAATAACATTGATTAGTTTTCAGTAGTGGATTAATGTATAGACATCTTATTCATAAAGAAAATCAACCCTGTCCTGAATATCTGACTGGAAATAACTATTGGATGTGCCATTTTGTGATGAGGATTGAAATCCCACAGGGAGCATCAATTCCCTCTATATTTTAAATATACCTTACTAACTTGTGCAAATCAACACAAAAAATTATGTCCATAGCTTACTGTCGATTTTATCGAACAATTGATCTAAAGCCATATAGATTGGTGACTACAACTACATTATAACTTGTTTGATAGGATTGGATTAATACACATTTAATGAACAAATTATACAGCAATTTGGATCTAGTGCATTCTGATTTCTCGGTGTATACATTGACAGTAGTTTATTGTTATTTTCTACTGACTAATATGTTTATTGAATTTATTTCGGCTGTGTTATATACGTTGATGTGCATAATACATATCCTATGAAGTGAGTTTTTAGATTAAAGAAAAACGTAGTGAATATGTCAATTCACTACTTTTATAATTTACGTAAATAATTATTCTTCAACATTATTTTATTATTTACAAGCAAGTTGTTTACAGTCAATAAATACAAATTACTTGTCATGTAAATCACTTCATGTCCGAATTAGTTTCGTGAAAAAAGAATTTGTCTTGTAATGGGCAACATTCAAACAGTAATTTTAATTGGACAGATTATTATCATACAGTATTCGTAATAACTAATTTTTGTTAACAGAATGAAACGAAATCATTATTATCAAATTTCTATTTGTGTAGATTCATTTTGTATTGGTTGTTTGAATCTTCTCATTGATGTTTAGGACTATAATTGATCAGTCTCTTATTGGCATCTGTGTATCCTGTGCGAATTTCCCCGATATTGCCTCAAATCACAAGTATTGTAAGCAGAAATGGATGGTGTTTCGAGTTTCGGAGTGAACATCAACTCTAGAATGCAAGTAAATCCAGTTGATAAGTCCTAAATAGGACGAAACGCGCGTTCTGGATTCCACTGCTAGCTACTATCCATCTCTGCTTATAATATTTGTGTAGGTTGTTTACAATGAAACTAAATCTATCTCATATAATGTTGTACATCATTAGTACCTAAGATTAAATATTTTAGTTCCACTATAATTGTCTGACCAACTGAACGAACCTGGAACCGGCCTATTGAAAACTGAGTGCTTTTTCGTGATTCGATTGGATGACTAAATAAAAACAATGACTAATAACTCAAGTTCTCAATACCCTTTGCTAAAATCTGAACTGTAAATAATTTGGTAGATAAACATTGATGAATATGTTTTCTCTGTTGGTAATCGTGGTTCTATCATAGAAAAAGCGCTGCTTTTCATTGAGCACATATGTGTATGACTTTTTGACGTTGACCACTGGGAAGAGTTCGATTTTAATCATCAATGTTTGAGTTGTGCACTCATGTTTAGTATCAGCAGATGTTTTCTTGCCGAAGTGTCTTTTCCTATCAAATTCTAGTCCATATTTCAGAGTATAGAATATTGTCCCGCAACTGTTTTGATCACTATGTCAGCGCTCAACTATAACAACACTAGATCAAAAAGATAATGATCACAGAGAATAATGTCAGTAGTGATTTGTTTCATTTGGTTTGTAATGGTCACCAAGTCACCAACTAAATAAATTTGAATGTATAAAGCAGATTGCCACTAATCTACTCACCAAATACAAACTCACTTATGTACAAAATAGGAAACATGATGTTTGCATAATCAGGTATGCTCGGAATTTCGCTACTTGGTCGAATATTTTATTACATTTCTGACGAGATCACAAGGCTATTATTGAAGTGCTTTATTTTGAAGTCGACAAAACGTATATTTTAGGAGATTCTACTCATCAAATCACTGAGTCAATTTTTCCCGAAAAATTGTTTGATCACTTGTGGTGTATCTGTTGGAACTTCGTTGTCACTTGAGAAGAAAGCATGTTTAAAATAAAATTTCGTTTATTTGTTCTTGAATTAGTTGCTTACTTGTCCTCGCCTGTGATTGCTTGACTTTATTTGCTTAATAGGCTATTGTTACATCTTCTCGGTGTGTAAATTTGGTTACTGTCATTTTTGTTTTTCTCTCTTTTCCATTTATTGTAGTTCACTCGTTCATTAATTGACAATATGTTGCAACTTCTTATGACTACCATGGATGAAACACATCAACATATTATCAATTTAAACTTAGGTTACAGTCTTCTGATGGGACTGGCTCGTTGTTATAAGGATTTATCGATTGATTCAGTTCGACAAAAAATAATATACAGTTATTTAAATGGGCCTGGATTTATATATTATAAAATACATATACCTTATTTACAATTATTAAATGCTATGGTATGTGAAATTGTCTATCCAGCATTGTATCAAAATCATCATCCTTCACCTAATTCTACTCTTCCTCATTCATCGTCATCAGCATACGCATCTAGTGGTGTTGGTAGTACTTCTAATCGATACAAAGTGGAACATCAGTTTAATAGTAGTGTTAATAATCGAAATATTGGCATGACACCTACAACTGGACACTTTTTTGATTCAAAAGCTGTACAACTTATCTTTTCAACAATACATTGGGCCTTTTTAATTATTGTTCGTTCAAGGGTAAATAATTGTTTATTTCACTCCAATATTGTACAGATTTGATAGAAAATTGATATTTTGGCATTCTTTAAGCTGTATTTTTTTGTATGTTCTTTAACCACTTTATTATATCAAACTAGGAAATATTCTTGGTGTAATCCTACTCTAAATAATTCTCTTTAGGAAACTGATACCTTTTAAAAGTGAATGTTGACTAGGCAGTATTTTCATTGTTCTACTTTAATAGGACTACGTAGCAGTACTTACTAATGATCTCATATAAAATCAAACCATAGAGTTGTGTGTTTCGCAAAAATCATAATGCCTTTAGGCCACTAAACCACATTTGTTTATCGGCTCAACTTAGTTTATTTTAAAGCGCGTCTCTCATTGTTAGTTACTGTACAACTCCCGAATTTGGCTGACTATGCATGTCCATTAATTAACCAATTGTTATTACTCTTTGATTATTCAAGACAACACTGTCATAAAATCAGTCTACTAAATATATAGATTTTAAATTTCCTTCAAAACTAATTACTTATATACGTTGTTCCGATAACCTTGGGTGTTCGACCTTAGATTCTCATAAAATGTCTTGACAAATACGTATGACCAGACGTTTCGAAATGTTTGGCATAAATGCATCACATTATTCAGATCGACTTTGTCTACTCTTTGTTCCATTAAAATGTATGAAAACAGTGATTAATTGCTGTACATTCATTTGTTTGAGGGAAATGATCTCTGCCATTGTTGTAATATAATTAGTCCGTTGTTAATTGTCATAACAACAAATGATGTGTGAACTAATCAATTATCATCAATGAGTTAATGGATAGTGTAATGTTTATTTTAGAAATATTACATTGTGTTGTAGATTTATGTAGGATTTTTGTAGGTTTTCTATTTTAAAAAATTGCCATTGCAAAACGTTTTTCCCTATACAGCAAATAAACTAGGTTTTTGACGCAAAAATATCAAGTTATGTATCCTGATGGAGCAAAGTGAGTTTCGTAACTTCACCATTTTGAAAATTCATTCAGTTGGGGATATTTGATTGCACTAAATAGGTTTTAACAAAAGCCGTGCAATTTTCTAAGAAGCTTTCTTTTACAAGGTATTTAAAATGTAAAGACTTGAGAACAACATTTACAATTAATCAATCACTGAGTGAATAGTGATCAGTGTGATCTATATCAGTCTATTCGTTCCGATTGCTGATTGAATTTTATCTATAAAGTTGCAATTTGCACACTAGTCTAAGTGACTCGACATCATCACCTAACAGCTCAACATAGCGCACACAATGTATAGTCTCTTAGACTAATGAGCACATTACAACTTGGTCGATAAAATTCAATCAGTACTAAAAAGGAATTAACATACACGACATTGGTCCCTGCTCAGTAACCAGTCAATCGTAAATGGATCTCATTCCTGATGCAGATCAATTGAGGCACGAGTGGCCTCAGTGGTGACATTTCTGACTGTGAAGGTGAGTGATACAGGATCGAGTCCGCCAGGGAGCATTGATTCTTCCAAGATTTCAGGTACGTACACTCTGGTGATGAGTATTGGATATCATAATACCTTGATCCAGCGTTTATTGTTTAATTCCTCCAATCACCTAACAACTATTCGTACTGATCCCTAACTAATTTACAACCTATTTTATTGTGACGACATCTCTCTTTAGCGCCCAATATGTATAGTCAGTGCATGAATTGTATTGTAATCACGTCTCTTTTGAATTTTCCAGTCGTTAGATTCACGATATGTTATAAATGCCTTACGAAAATGCGTGATTACATGTGGTCATTATAAAGAATTAGTCAAATTAAGATGTATTGGAAAGGAAAATTCATATTGATAAATACACGTTTTGAAATTCCACTGGCCCAGTATTATAAGCATACTACCTAGTAAGGATAATTAAAATTTACATTTAGACTGAGTTATTCTGTATCATGAAGTAATCGTAGGTTTCTCCTGAAACAATTATTGGACGCTTGTTTGCTGAGGACAGATGATTCTGTTTCGTATACAAATAATTCGCTATATACAGTATAACTGGCGAGCGAATAATCTGCCACACGTCAACTGAACTTAGATCAGTTACATGTTGTCCGCCTGATTATCATGTAAATTAGGTAATATAACATATAAAGAAGGTAAGAAAATATAAACGGCAATCAGACATCTGTCAGGTTGTCTATCAGTTTTTCTAAAAACAACAACTGATCACTAGCGGTTTTCACTTACACAAGATGCCGTATAAACTATACTTAATTTTCCTGATCTAGCACTCTAATGAGACCAGGTGCCGAATAGCTTGTGTTTATTGCCGCTCGGTTCTGAAAATGACACTGACTCAGTTGTTAATCTACCAACTAGTTTCAATTCATTATCATTACCACAAATTATATTTCACATTAAGTAATAGCAATTGGTGACTAGAAAGCTTTCAAATATAGTTTTTTTTAACTTTTCTATTCACCAACACATGGAGATAAAATTCCAGAGATGTTACTGTTTTTTCTCTTTCTTCTACTTCTCTTAGCATTTAGATGTTATGCAGTTGAATGATAAGGATAAAAAAGAAGCTGAATCATTATTTACACGCCAGGTCGAATCTTTCCTGTCTGGAGTAATTGATGTGACTTGTCGTACTGATGATGTTCTACTACGCGTGAGTAAATTTCTATCGAAAATAAACTTAAACCAAATATTTCCACGCGTTCATAGTTAATTCTGAATGAGTTTTATACTTTCCAATTATTTTAACTTTACAGTATGTTAAAAAATCATAAATTTGATAGTCCAGTTGTGTAGAATGAAACAGCTGCGTACACTGCACGGATGCAATATGATCCTGTCTTACATCCCATATTATAAAATAAGCATATATTCCGTTTACTACTTATAAGTAGTTCGTTTGTTTTTCTGCATTAAGATAACTCGTGCACGTCACTGTAAGCTTAGAACTTTTTCCATCCGAGCATGACTCGAGGTTTGTGTAACATGGATAGTTGTGTTAAGACGGCATAGGTATTGTCTGAGTTTCAAATGACTTGTCAATTGTTTGATTTTTGATTTTGTGACGTTCTTCAGTTTAGTTATTACAAATCGGAGTTGGTTGAGAGTTGTCGGGACACTGATTTCATACTAACTGGATCTCTTTATCCAGACGCATGTGCATTCTTAAGGTAGATGACACCTGCTATCGGATTTAAGCCTGGGTCACCTAGGGCCGTATTCTGAAACGTTACTAGTTAGCTGTTCCGGATACAACATATCTGTCAGACTGAGTTATTTACACTGATTAGTGACTGATATCATTCTTGTTTAGCCGTCACTGCTAAAAAATCTTTTTTTACCGATCAAGTCGTTTTACTTAAACTAGTTGTCACATTGGAACTTAGTCGATAGACCACGATCAGGATAAAAAAGAAAATGACAAACATGAGATCGGCTACTACTCAGTAGGTAATATACATAAATACTTATCCTTTTTCTCATTGGCTATCGCGTTTTTTCCCAATTCCATTAACTTTGGTTCGCGAAACTGAGTATTCTTAGCCTGTACACAGAAGAATACGACTTAAAGCAGAGCATATAAAGAGGTGTACTCAAAGAAAGAAGTACATGAGAATACTACAAATACTCTGGTTATTACAATTTAGACACTTGTTCTTTAATCAGTTTTAGTGTGCACTTCTACAATTCTATACATTTTAAATAGTTGTACATCACAATCATAGGTTTTTTCTTCACCATACTTGTTATGTCCTATGGCCAGTTAAATATCATGTGACAAAATTGCCAATGAGGATACCGACTTCTATGACCTTGTTCCTGTGCTAAACCATTGATGCATCAAAACAGCGCTAGCAACCTTGAGTTTACTCTAAGTCCCTATTGGTCCTCTGTATAGTAGTTTCACGTCTATCTTAGCCCGTTCAGTCCAGAACACATATATCAGCCTTCGCTATATAACTCGTGTATTTCAGATATATATTATCCATCATATATACGTTACTGCAGAGTATTTATGAGTTATAAACTGCAGACCAAGTATACGGCTATTCTTCTCCAATGATTATTACTCTAAGCACTTAATGGATTAATGAACTATATATAAGGATTAAGTATGTTACACTAATTGGTTACTGAGTAATGTAACAAATGTCTTTGATGCTAATCAAATTCTTTTAAAGTTTCAGTACGGCTACTAGTTTGAGTAATTCAACATAACATGAGATATGTTTTGATGTTACATTGCTTTCGAAATAGTTGGCAAGAAACTGTAAAGATATGCTTCATGGTAGTTGACGATTGTCCTAAAGACGTACCTACAAAATTGAGGGAACTGATACTCCTTGTGGAAATTGAACCTTCCACTACTTAACTTTACAGTTTGAGATATCACCACTGACCTGCCGAAATAGTTGAATTCTATCAATATTAATAGGACACCTCGGTGATGCACGAAGTCTACAGTTTCCTCCTGACTCCTTTCAATCACCTAATTGAAGTACGTTAAATTTTTAAGCCGCTAGTTATCAAATGGTGACGTAATCATTGACAATTTACTGCCTTAAACTATGTATCTACATATGATTTACTTAATTCCTTCTCATTTATTCCTCATTCTCTATATTTGTTATCTTTTTTTTTAAAAAAAACACAGCTTATTATATTTAAACATGTGCCAGAAATTATTAAAAATTTAACAAAAGTTTATCCAAAATTAAAATTATCTCAATTCATCGTACAATTATTAACACGTACATTAGAAAGTTGTGAGTTACCAAGCCAAAAAATTCTAACTGAAACCATTCATTCAACCTTATTTACTGATCCACAATGTCGTCGTCTATTAGTACCAATAATTCAAACCAGTTTAACGCATGTTTTTACATCGAAATTGGATAAGGTAATTCTTTGTTTACCTAGAAAAATAAAATACTTTTATCCATTGCCTGTACGTGTGTGTGTGCGTGAACGTGTGGTCATTAGTACATTTTAATTGTTGCTTTAATTAATGTTGTTATTTTCTAATGCATAAAATGACTTACACAACTGATATGTAATTATTTCAAACAGTGACGACACATAGAAATTCAGATTGAGGTTATCCATCATGTGTTCAATGGTCAACAAGAGGGATATATTCGACTCTGTTACCCATTTTCCCATTCATATATTGTACGACTATTGCATATTGAAGTGTGATATACATTAGAGATCTTATTTCAAATCAGCACATTTGTGTTTTTTATTCGACTTGCTCAACCTGAGCTAGAAATTTATCCATTCTGTAGACAGCATTCATTGTGGCCCCACATTTTCTGGTGAAACACTAATAATTTTAACACACTACACAGTTGTTTTGTTTTGGTTTATGTAACTTATCAGGAATGCACACTTTGTTTCAAGCAAATGAATTTCTCAAAAACTTTTAACTGTTCTGTGTAATGATTGTTTCATCGTTAACACATGTTTGAACAAGACCAGATCATAGCTGCTCATTATAGCTTTCGGGAATTCATCTTGTGGCTAGTCAAATATTTAGCATACGAAATGATGATCCATCTTGTTAGCGCAACATAGATTAGATTAAAGCATGTTCCGTGCAAGATTGTGTTGGTGCACGCTGATTGGTTATTTCTTATCCAATCAGCGCTAGTCGATACTTGGAGAAGACTAGAATCTTCTCATGTAAAAACTATAAATATACTAGTGTTTTTCTTATCGTGCTTACTCCCATCTACCGTTGTTATCTGGAATATAATTTCTTATCAGAAGGGGTTTGTGGAGATTTTAGAAATTTTCACAGATTGAAATCATGAGTCAGTTGAAGCTAGACCATCATTGAAAACCTGGAAGCACTAGACGGCCCTTTCGTCCTAGTATGGGACTCCTCAGCAGTGCGCATCCACGATCCCGCACCCCGCGGGATCCGAACCCAGGACCTACTGGCTTCGCGCGCGAGCGCTTAACCATTAGACCACTGAGCCGGCATCCAGCGGTGTTAATGTCTAACTGCTGAGGAGTCCCATACTAGGACGAAGCTGCCGTCCAGTGCTTCCAGGTTTTCAATGGTGGTCTAGCTTCAACTGACTCATGATTTAAATATAATTTCTTTCCTGTTCAACCGTGTTATGATTTGGGACTTGTCGAGTGAACTGGTGTCCAAGATTACTAAGAAATAGGAATAGTTGGGTTGTAATAAGAGAAATTACAACACATATTGGATACGGACAAAATTTCCTCGATAGATAATAAAGTTTGCTTGCTACTTCTGTGATATATGGTACGTGAATATTTATTACAAGACAAATACGCTACAATATACTGTTTCGTTCGCATATTTTTTTAGACGTACAAATAATATAAAATAGTCTTCCGAACATTTGCACATATGATAGGACCGTTGAGTGAGGAATTTTAGAAAGTGAATGGATCATTCAGTTATGTGATAGACCTGTTCCATCCACCTGAGATGGCTATAAGACATTCGGCGTATTATTTACTCATCATTATTTCGGCTGCAAGTTATTATTTGAAATGAAAAGTTAAACTCCAAAACTTTATTGGATCTAAAACTTGACACTGTTTCAGTATACGTAAATAAGTCTTTGTCATCTTAGAAATTCCAGCTTAATTTAGTGCTTTATCAAACATTCAAATTTGTTTAAAACTATCTGTAAATTGTTTTTATACATGTTTGTATGTATGTATGCACACTCTCATTTATTATTATTCTCAATGTATACTGCTAGGTTCTCAGTTGTAAAATTAACGAAAATACAGCTATAATGGATGTTTGGTGTGATGTATTGCTGTCATTTATGGACAGTTTTACAAAAGCCACTGCATCAACTACAACAACATCGAGTTCCTCATCATCAACCACTCAGTGCATTGGTGATAATTCTGTTGATAATAATCGTGAAGCTAATCAGACCGATGATAATATTGATAATACTGAAGATGAATCTAAAGCCATTGCCTCTGTAACAACACCAACAAGGAAATTATCGTTTACATTTGACAATTCTAATCAGAATTGTTCATATTATGACAATCAATCGGATGAAGTGTTTCATTTGTTAATAAAATGTAATTTTCTTCGTTGGACTATGCAACAGTTGTCACGTATTCTACTATTTATACATCAACGTAATTCTACTTTATGTTGTGGTGATGATAGTAGGTCAGATTCTCTTTCAACTACCGGTAGTAGTAGTAACGGTGGCAACGGATTCGGTGGTGTTTCTGGTGTTGTCAGTGGCAATAACAAAACATTATCATCATCTAGTAAGGTTTCACCTAAAAAACGCCTTATACATCCTTCCTATCACCGGTTACAACCAATTATGGTAATTTATCTAAATGTGCATTTATCATTCATTTTAAATACTATTTATCTAATGTAATGTAATTATATTCAATGTTATATTGATTTCTGCTTGTGCAAGTGTGATTAATGTGTTGTTCGCGTCAGGGATCACCTGTAGATTTTACGATAATTTTTGCTGTCTCTTATCTATAAACGTGAAGGTCTCATCAAATGGATCTTGTTGTCGTTTATATCGTTCAGTAGACTGTAGGGATGAATTTAATGTGTAGAAAGTGTTCATTGTAGATTAAAGATATCAATTAGTATAGGAAAACATTGGAAATTAAGAAAAAGTGGGCATTTGTTTCTATTTGAAGAACAGAATCCTGATAATCGGATATTGAATTCATGGGCAAATTAAAAAAATGCTTCTTCGTCCATTTTCAAGCAATCATCCAGGTTGGATTCTAGAAACGTTTATCCTTTTACTACTGGACGTTTTATTGTTCCAGTTATTCGGAATATATCTTGTTTTCCCCCTTAATCATTGCTTTGATTTGTGGCAAATCGAGTGAATAGAATAATATATGACTGTAGACTTAGCAATTTTCTTGTGGTTTTGGTATTCGTATGGTAATTCTCACCTATTATCTGTCCGAAGAGGAAATGTTCGATCCGTGATTAAAACTGTCTTCACAATATATCCCTTTTTTATTTATTAGTGGAATCCTTGCACCATATAGCATACTGATATAACATTGGGTCTGCTATGTTCAAACCAATAATACCAATACTCCTACTAAATTACCTGACGTGTTAACGCTTTTTGGGACATGTATTATCCTTACCTCGAAGCTTCAGTCATGACACGACAACATGATAGGTGGTGTAATTTGTCTTTATTGACTGAATAATTCACATAATCATATGTTTGAATTATAGGACCACAAAGCACCATTAAGAAATTGCACTATGTGCTTAAGTAGGACAATATAGTACAAAGTCTGAATAACATGTTAATTATGAACTTACAATAATCTGAAGGCAGAAATAGGATACAACAACAGTCATTGAATTAAATAGAAGCTTAAAAATCGCATAAACGAAGTGTTTATTAAATACAGGTGAAAAGTATGACATATTGTTAGGCGAAAACATGACTTGGGTAGTTTGTCATCTTCACTTATTTGTTTCGTCTTAACACACACAGTGAAGACCAAATTTGTTCAATTACTAAATCCATTATAGCAACTCACGTGTAATTGAGTTTGCTCACATTTAATTCGGTTAAGTCATTTTGTTAACTTATTAACGAACTGAGTCATTCGTACAACAACAACAACAACAACTTATCTATATCATTGTATCTTTATTATTGTTGCGAATGTATGAACATGTGTGCTTGAGCGTTGCTTACTGCCTACTCACTTTTTCACGCTGCATGTCTTACTACTAACCGCTTAATTGATTCGATGATTCATTCACTTCACTATGTATATATGTGTCCATGTTATTCATGTTCATTGCTCTCTCTCGCTTATCTGTACTCGCTTACTCGTACTCATATTCGCTGACTCACTCGCTTGCCTGCTTGCATTTCGGCACAACTCTTTCATGCTTGTTTAACGCACCTGTAATTTTGGATATCTGTGTGTGTGGTCCCATAATAAACGTAATCAACACTTCGTATTCGCCTTCTGATGAATATACCGTTGGGGCGTTATCTAGTGACGGTTATCAAGACGAACTGTATACGAAGTTTAAGGATTATACTGAATACCGACTACCACAACATGCTGATCTAGTATTACATAACGTTGTCAGTCAATCAGTCAGCTACAACGTAGGACCAGGCACATATGTGCATCGGTCCAGGTTGCCATACCTCATTAGCACAGCAAGATGAACACCGGATTCATAGGAGTGGTTAGGTCAAAGGTTGCAATAAGGATATAGTATAGGAAGAAAGAATTAGTTCGTAGAAAGAAAGATATGAAGTGATTTTAATCTCTTAGTTTAAGGGAAGACAGGGAGTGTATACACCGACGCCATTGTGATCGATTCTGAGCCATGTCACCAAGAGTCTCCAACCATTGGTTACGAAAGTCACGCGGATCCCAACCAAGTAGTCTGCATCTACCAACATGGCTCAGACCAGAAGTTAGTGACTTCAGGCACTGATGCCACGTTTTGGTTTGGCCGCCCCTAACTTTCTTCCAACCATCCCCTACACCGGTTAGCATTGCACGTCGTGGTAATCGGTGTTCAGGCATACGTAATACGTGGCCCAACCATCTCAGTCGATGAAGATTCATAACCTCATCAACTGATTTACCATCATTTCCTAATACCCTGCGTCTAACCTCACTATTACTTACCCGGTGATCCCAGCAGATGCCAGCAATATTTCTAAGACATCTGTGGTCAAATATTAGTAGCTTACGGGTGTCTTCCACTCTTAAAGGCCATGTTTCGCTGCCGTAAAGTAAGACAGAACGGACTGCCGCGCAGTATACTCGTCCTTTTATTGATAGACGGATATCTCGCCTTCGCCAAAGGTGACGCAAGTTGGCAAAAGCCAAGCGAGCTTTTCGAATCCGTGCTGAGATTTTGTCAGACACCAACCCATTAGAGCTGACCAGACTTCCAAGATAAGTGAAGTTGTCGACGCGTTCGACTACTTCACTCTCTATCCTTAGTTCAGGTGTTGACGCAGACCAGTCCTGAAGCAACAACTTGCATTTAGAGGGAGAGAAGCGCATCCCAAACATTCTGGCATTGTTGCTTAGTGCTACCAGAAGACTCTGCATTTTGTCAGCGTCTTCACCAAACAGGACTATGTCATCTGCGTATTCTAAGTCGATAAGTGGACCTCCTGGAAGGAGATCAATACCCGAGAATTCAGTCGACGAGAGTGTTATTTCCATCAATAGGTCTAAGATGAAGTTAAACAAAAATGGAGAAAGCGGACAGCCTTGACGGACACCACTTGAAGTTGCAAAAGTAGATGACAGTTCGCCATAAGCTCTGACTCGACTAGTAGTGTTCGAGTAAAGAGCCTTCACAAGGTTTATGTACTTCTGAGGTACGCCTTTCAATTACAGACACTGCCACAGAGTCTCGCGGTCTACAGAATCAAATGCTGCTTTTAAGTCAAGAAAGACCACCATCGTCGGACGCCGATAGGTATGCCTGTGTTCTAGAACCTGACGAATGGTGAATATGTGGTCGATGCAGCCACGACCAGGTCTAAAGCCAGCTTGGTTCTCTCGAGTTTGTAGTTCACGAGTCTTAGTTAGGCGTTTGATAATTATCGAGGCCAGTATTTTAGATACTATGTTAGTTAAACTAATCCCTCTGTGGTTGTCACAGGATGATTTTGACCCTTTCTTATATATTGGGACGATAAGTGATTGCGACCAGTCAGATGGGATAAAGTCTAATTCCCAGATCTTAGCTAAAATATTAGTCAACCTAATCGCTAAAATTGGGCCACCATCCTTAAAGACCTCTGGAGCCAATCCATCTGGACCAGCTGCCCTTCCTCGTTTCAGACTAACTATAGCCTTTTGAACTTCAGCAAGAGTTGGGGGACCTACTTCAATGTTCCATTCACACTGTCTGGGAATGGAGGGTAGTTGTAGAGTAGCTGAAGGCCAGCTGAACTGTTCTCTAAAATGTTCCGCCCATCGTTCTAAACGTCTGGACTGGGAGCAGATGAGAGTATCATCTTTTTCCGAAATAATCTCACTTACACTTGACTTATTAGTTCCAGTTTCTTTTATTAGTCTGTAAAGCTGTCTTGTGTTCCCTATAGTCGCCGCCTTTTCCATCTCTTTTGCTTTCGTTACCCACCACTGCTCACGGTCGTTCCTTAGACTTTTTCTTAACCTAGATCTGATTTGTTTTCGCTCTTCATCATGTTCAGAACCTGATGGGACGAGTTTACGAGAATCCATCAGTGTGACAGACCTTGAAGAAATCCACTGGTTCCTTGCAACTCTGTGGTTTAAGTCACTAATAGATGTCACTGCTGTTTCCACAGCTGATTGTATGCCCTTCCAAGCAACATCTGGGTCAGCCTCGTCTTCACAACTACCTAAGTGTGACCTCAGTTGTTCCTGGAACCTACTTTTGATTTTCTCGTTACTCAACTCAGTTCTGACGGGTCTTTTTAATGTGGCTTTTTTGCGTCCAGTGAGGCGCAAGCAGATGCGTGCCCGTATTAGGGCATGGTCGGAGTCCAAGCAGGTACTCCAGAATGAGCGACAATCTTCTACCGACCCTCTCCAACGATGACTGATGGCAATATGGTCTATTTGAGTCCATCGTTGGTTTGGTGTAGGGGGTCGCCATGTTAGACGATGTCTCTCCTTATGCTTAAAATTTGTGTTTGCTAAAAATAAACGATTGTCTGAGCATAGCTGCAGCAGACGATCACCATTATCTGTTCGCTGTGTCGGAACACTGAAATATCCACCTAAATGCCTTTCTGTTTGGTTTAAGCTACCTATCTGAGCATTAAAATCACCTGCTACGAGTACTATGTCTGAGCGTTTAGCTTTCTGAAGAAGTTCAGAAAGCTTTCTGTAAAATTCATCTTTCACATCATCTGAGCTGCAGTCAGTGGGAGCGTAGGTAGAAACGACAAAAAGGCAACGACGTGTGTCCCTATCCTTCCGAGTTCTTACGTAGCCGTTCAGCCGAACGGCACATAACGACTGTTGACGGGGATCCACTCTAGCAGTGTTTGTTCCGCCCTCATGCTTAGTGCTATGCCTACACCTGCCAGTCCACGAGAACTGGCCATCGGGTCACCAGATACACGAAGGGTGTATCTTGTTGGCTCTCCGTTTTGCCGAGGTGAGGTCAAGTGAATGACCACACTGGAATCCTGTATGCGTGTTTCGGAGACACAGCATACATCAATGGAAAGAGACTCTAGGGTTTTAGCCAAGGAAGCCTGCTGACCGATTTGACATAGGGTGCGTACGTTGAAGGCTCCAATGTGTAGTTTGGAGCGAGGTTTCAGTAGACCTGGGACAGTGTTTTGCGCACTAGAATCGTTGGCTATGGTGACACTTGAGGTGGAAGTCGAGAGAGGAAATTTAAAGTTGAAAGTCGATGTAGGAGGAATAATAGGAATTGAAGAGGGAGGTTGATTATGAATACAGTGGTCTTGGGTGCTGTTAGAGGTATGAGGGCGGTTATCACTTCCCGGTTGCCCACACCGTGGAAGGGTTGTTCTGGAGGTACCTGAAAAGGAAATTGGATTAAAGGTGGTCTTAGTGACCTGAGAGCGTGACCGCAGTGCCCAAGGGACAACTGCTTGAGGCCGGTCGCGCACGGCCTTTTCGTAGGAGGTTTTTGACGTGTTAGCTCCGTTCTTCAAAGGGCCTTACCGCCGGAGACGGAAATCCGTGAGGTAAGGTGAGGTGTGCATTTTTACGGTCGACCTTTTCTAACCCCACCCCTCCTTGTGGGAAGGCAGCATCGCTGTCATGCTGGTTGTCCGAGGGAAACACCTTACTGCTGTCACACCTCTGTACAGTCAGCAGTACGACTTCGCCTTCGGACCTTGGGTTTGTTGCTTTTAGTCTTACCGCTCTTCAACCGACCTGTCTGACATGGTAGGACCTTGGGGAACGGTTGTTCCAGCCAGTATAGCTCGGTTGCTTCATCACGATAGGCAAGCCCGACCACCACGTCAAGGTAGCAACAACGGTCGGGTACATAACGTTGAGATTCATTTCACGTGATAAATAATGACTGGCACTACTAGGCAATGGATTCTCTTCCGCTATTTACTTATTTCGCTACGAGTTATCAAATTGTGAAAAAAAGTTTGAATCGAAACCGAGTCTACGGATTTGTCCTTAGCTACTTGTTAGGACTACTCACCTGTTAAGAGTGTAACTGAATCGGAATAAAATGTTACTGTCAGTACCACTACCACTACCATTTATTCTGGTACTATAATAATCAAACTAAGTGATATTGTATGCTTTGCTGGTTGGAACGATAATTCAATGATTATGGAGTTCAACTTCCATCTACTACATCACATATTCGAACCCTACTCCATCTAATTTAGTTTGGGCTACTTAATAATATCACTATTCCTCAAAGTTGTAGTATGGCTCCAAGTGCAGATCTGTACCTGAAGAATCATGTATTAATACAATTCTTTTATCTGTAAATAATACGTTTTTTTCTTTTGATAATGATTTTTTTTCTTAAGGGATGTCTATCCACTGTACTATTCTCTTCATTACAAATGCTTACAAAATGTAGTTGGATAAAATTTTTTCAATCTGTTTATTATACCAGTGAAGAATGTTGCCAATGTAATTACTGTCATAATTTACAATTAGTAAATATCTATGATTTTCTACATGAATTATTCACTCTATTCTCATTGATGCACTTATATCCTGGTTATCCAGCGCCAATGTTTCAGTCAAGATCTGATAAATTATGGACAGTTGGTCGTTATTCATGGGATGATGATTATCATGATGAAAGACAATCAGAGCACTCTGACAAAAAGAAAATATCACATAGGAATTCATCACTGACTCATAATCATAATGATAATAATAGTAATAATAATGTAGAACTATTCTCTCAATCATGGATTGAAATGTTAACATTGATATCAAATGCTGAGCTAGATGTTATTGAAGTACTGATTGAACTTGTTATGGAACCATATTTTATTAATCCTAACTTAGATAATAAAGTGAGTTTTTTCTGTGATATTTCATGAACTGGTTCGAATTGTCTTCGACGTTTGTTGTTTTTACTGGACTGTGTGGGAACTCCACTGACTGTTATACATCATCGGTAGTATGACTCATTCTGTGTAATTCGTCTCTGTAAACCAATGATAATAAGATAACTTGTTTTTTAATCAAAGAGGGGTTACATAATAAATCTTGGTAAAACTGTCATGTAGGCTATATTACATAAATGTTCACAGATTGAAATCATGAGTCAGTTGAAGCTAGACCATCATTGAAAACCTGGAAGCACTAGACAGCCCTTTCGTCCTAGTATGGGACTCCTCAGCAGTGCGCATCCACGATCCCGCACCCCGCGGGATTCGAACCCAGAACCTACTGGCTTCGCGCGCGAGCGCTTAACCATTAGACCACTGAGCCGGCATCCAGCGGTGTTAATGTTTAACTGCTGAGGAGTCCCATACTAGGATGAAACGGCCGTCCAGTGCTTCCAGGTTTTCAATGGTGGTCTAGCTTCAACTGACTCATGAGTTCAATCTGTGAAAATTTCTAAAATCTCCACAAACCCCTTCTGATATATTACATAAGACATTTATGGATGTAATTATAACTACACCGATAAAATGATTCATTGTTAACACTCAATTTATTAGTGAATTGTGTGCAACTATGCACAGTTTTCCACTAATACATAATAATCACGAATTGTATTTCACTTTTCGAAATGTGAATAATGTTGGCTGTGAATATTTGTCTGTTGATTGAATTCGGAATTTCAACTCGTTGATCAAGTTCATATATGAAAGCGCTTATTCACTAAAATCAATGAATCCTATAAGCAAATATTGCGTGTACAGAAGTTTTTTTCAGATTATTTGACTCCCTTCTCTAACAATTTTCCCAATATTACTTGCTTGAAATGTTCATTGAGGCTTTTGTCATTTTGAAGACATAATTATTTCTATGTTAAGACCATGTTTAGCTGTGGCAATTTTTAAAAAGAAATGGGACACTCAGCAATTTAAACCGTACCTCATACGTTTTGAAATCTTTAAAACGTCGGGAAAATGTCATTTTCAAGTGTATTTACAATCTTCATTAACATTTCAAGCAGCTTATCTGTTTGATTATTGTGTCATCAAAGTTCCTAATGTCTTTCTTCTGGAACCTATGGTGTTACTTTCTGCCAAACACTAGTAACAAGAATCCTACCAACTCTGTCATTGTATTCTTGCTTCAGACAATCGATAGATCATGCAAGTACTTATGTATTTAGTGGCCCGTGGATCTGACTCCTATTTAGATCGTATAAATGTTTGCTATCGCCTATTCTCGTATATCATCGTCGACTTGAATCGCGTTAGTCAATAACGGAATTAAATAAGTCGAATAACGAGAATCGACTTGTGAATACACATATTTTGTACATGAAGCGAATGAAACAGAGCAAAGCAAAATGACACGCATGGAAGATGGCTGGGAAGCAAACTTCATTTTTGTCGAGCGTTACTCAATATTTATAGTCAGACAAAATAAAGCTACAGACATGTGATGAGTCATGGGACATGAAGTGTACACACATGTACGCTCATATAAAAACAGTCAAGACTGATAAGCGAATAATTAACAAGGTCAAAATATGACTCAAGTAGAATGAATAGAATGGAATGTCCGAAAGCTAGAATAAGATATATGGGCTTAAAATAATGACTGACACTACATGTACACAACCCTCTAATCAAAACAGTGAATTTCTAGATGAGTGGTCACAAATGCCTTTATTGTTCAAACTCATGATCCACATGATAGTATGAATAAAATACAAGACAAATGTTTATTCTGAATAGTAGTACAAACATGTCCTTAGATGTCCAATCCTGCTACAACGTTAGGATTTCATCACAAAAGGACAATTCGAATTGCGATTTATTTTGATCAGTAATTAGTGTGCGCTTTCGACAATATCTTTTCAAAGTTATGTACAATAATGTTTGTTTTAAGGTTGATATGACTAAACAGCTGGTAAGTGTTTTTTAGCGAGTTAGTTTTCTACGGAATGGGGACGCTAACTCCATGCCCAACCCTCCTCCTTTACTCGGGTTAAGTTGCGTTATAAAAGTGCCCAAGCAATGTTTTGCTCATTGGTCCTACAACAGAAATAAACTATCCAATCCAGGTCATTAGAAAAAAATGTCAGGATGAATCAAGAAACCATTGCCTAAAATATTGATTTATAATGCGTTTACATCTGATCATAGATAATTAATGTATGCATACAATCAGAATGTTAACCGAATTCCTCTATCTGTGTTTTGCAATAAGTGTTATTTTTATTCTTTTAAATTATCCAAACAGTTTCTATTGATTTCTGCCCAATCATCGTCATCATTAATAACAGCAAATACACCAGCAGTGTGTCACACAGAACCTTGTTTAACTAGCGATTTAATTGAATTAATTGCACAATGTTTGACTGGATTCGCAGTGGAACAAGCTCATTTATGTGTAGAAGTTGTGCCGCCCGTGACTAGAATTCGTATTGATCAAAGTTTAACTAATCAGTCAATTGATATGAGACAAAGAGCTTGTGATTTACTATTATCGTTATGGCATTCTATCGGTAAATGAGATAAACTTCATAATATATTGGTTTTATACAAAGTTTAAAGTGTAATGTAATTTTGTTTATTATTGTTGTGTATATTTTTGTCAAGTTTCGGTTATTCTCTTCAAAATGAAATCATCATACTCAAAAAGTGAGATCAACTATCTGCATCATGCTTAAATATTGCTTCCCTAGATTCTTGAATGTCATTAATTCGTTATTATCAACGTGATTTACTTATTGTCAATGCATTAGTAACCGGTTGATTGATGATCTCACCAGTTAGTCGTCTGTAACCACCGGTGTTTTTGGCTAATTATGTCTATACAGTCATACTTAATCAATATAAGGTCTGGCACAAGTGTAAATTGCCCCAAGTTGCCATTGAATAATAAGGAGTTCGGTGGATGAAGGTAATCATTGGAATATTTTAACTCAACAGGCTTCTGATAGAAGTGTAGTATTTAAATTCGCCCATATATAACTTATAGCTTTTCCTGATGATCTTGATCTTCTTTGATTATCGTTAAACTTTAACTTGTCGTTGTCTTCATATTTATTTTGTTTGTCTCTCTTTGATTTGATTCTTGATTCTATAGTTATTCATGATTTTTCTGACTGATTGATATATTCCATATGTCTATCGATTGTTGATTGACCTGAGTCTCAAACTTCTAAAGATCCCCTGGTGTCTGAGGAATCCGTGTGTATTAGTTTTGAGTTAATGTTGATTTTCAAGACAGGTTGATGAACGTGGGGCAATAATATTTGACTGCAGCATAAAAAGGTTTGCTCAGAGTTTTTGGCACCTGTGTGTCTGGGACCACAGTATTGAGTTGTGCTGTTTAGGCTGTAACGAGCTTGGCTGGTGTTTAGTGCTCCTGAAAACATTGTAAAATTATATTTTTACAGAATAGATTTATGGTTATGAATCAACCAGTTGTTCCTTTCATTAATCCTATGCTTGTATGAGAGATTAAGTTATAGATACCTTAAAATGACGAAACCGTGAACGACTTACGAAATAGCTCATGGTTCCTTCGAAATAACAGACTCAATATGTAAATGTAGTACATGACTTAGTCCCATGACCCACACGAAGATGAGTGCATTTATTAGAAGGGAACCAATCGTCTTCAGCTGCGTGTTACATTCTATGGTGACTTTGCACAGCTTTATGAGTCATAGTCGACCTTATTTTGGCGAAAAAGTTTTAAAAGGTGGTGACAGTGCACTGGAAAATCGTTCTACCGTAGTTCAGGATTTCTATGACGTGTGTTTACTCACTACCCTCAACCGTCCAGTTCCACGGTGTTACCTTAAAACCAGTGAATTGAAACTTAATAATTTGTCACTTCGATATAGTGGAAATAGTAGTGGGATCATAGTATAGTGAAGGACACTAGTGATATTATCATGTGTAAAAATTAGTATATAAATAATTGTATTCTGGCCTGAAGCGGACGTGATTTTGGGACTTGTTTGGAGATGGTTTTTGAGAATCAATAAATCTTCACTGCACTAGTCTTTCGTGTTCTTACTTTGTTATGGGAGTTGCGGTTGTTCTTTATTGCCTAGTAAAATCAATATGACCGCGGAGAAAACATATTCCATACATAAATAAGGGTGATGATACGCGGAAACAATAATGCATATTAGAAAATACGTTTATAGAATAAGATGATATTACTGATGTCTACCATTATCATCATCGTTATTGGTTTTGATATACGTTCTTTTGTATCCATTTTTCGTTCAATGTAGATGATCGATCAAAAGTGAATTATATTCACATATTTCTACCGAATGTCATCAATATGGCTACACTGCCACTTCCACGTAAGTTCTCCTCTTTTCTTTTTGTATTCTGTATAATCAAATTATATAGAATCATATGTTCTATGAGGGGAAATAATCAATCATACCCTCCCTCTACACATGTTCACACATACAGTGTTTATTCAAATCTTACTTTATAAAGTATAATACTTGCGGTGAATATGAAATAAGAAAGAAAGATTAGTTTAATGTCGTAATGGGTGTATTCCGTTTATTAAAGAATATGAAATAGTTTAAGTCTGGGATCTTGTTAGATAATAATTGTCATGTACTAGTGAAGATTTCTTTCACTTCCTCTTTGTAGTTATTTGTTTTTCCTTAGTCTTTGAAATAAATCGTCTTATCATTATTTCCGTTAGCTTGTACTGCTACATCTGTTATTTGAAATACAACTCATTCGTATTGAAATATTAGCTTGATGTTAGTTGATCACAAATTATTTCACTTTTGACAAACCTCTAGACCAAACCATAATGGTATACATTCACTACTGACTCATGCTAGTGGTTTCGAAATAACTTCTTTGAATGTTCTAGTGTAAGTTTTAATTGATGGGATTAATTTCTCAATAGTTATCATGGGTTAAGTAAATTTTGGCACACCATTTGAGTTGATATTTTCGAAAAGTAATCAGTAATGTTGAATTGTTTATTATCGTTTCAACTGAACTATTTGATGAAGTGTGATGTAATAATAAAACTTATAATCTAATGAAGGCTAAGTAACAAATATATATCTGATCCACTGCAATCAGTTTCATGACATGTGATCTATGCTGTCCCTATAGGGTTCTAACTTAACGACTGAGTTGCATGCGAAATCTTTAGAACAAAAAGTGTGCGTTTTTTTAAACTACGGTACTGCTTTGGAAAACAGCGTAAACACTAATTGTTTACGATCTTCGAATCACGAGATCATAGTTGAACACTTTGAACATATGTCTGTATAATCACTTACTTACGCATGTTACCTCTCGTGGAGCATGGGCCGCCGACTAGGAATCTCCAACCAACTTTGTCCTGGGCTCTTCTTGTCAATTGTTACTAAGTGCTATTCATTCTTTTGATATCTACCTTGAATTCCTGTCCCATGTGTTCTTTGGCCTTCCTCTTTTTATTTCCAAGTTCTTGCCTTGCTAGTTTCCACAAATTTTTACCTATCCACCTTCAGCTGGAAGTTAGTTTGCTCTTTGTCAGAGTAGGTAGTTGCTAATGATGTTCGGTTAACGGATCTGGAGTATCTTGCGTAAACAACTATATAAATGCCTGTAACTTTTATGATGATGGTAATAGTTCTCTTAGTTTCAAGTTACTAATTAGTAATGAAATTCAAAAAATGTGGTATTAATAATAAGATAACTTACTGTTAGTTCAAATGAGAATATCTATTATTCAGTGAAGTAAATTGTCTCTCTTGGTGGTGTTATTCGACAACTAATTGCTGAGGTTTCATGCAATTGCTTCCCTTTATGAATTTGAATAAATCAAGACAAATATAACAAATTATGTGATAATTTTAGAGATTATGAAGGGTTTACATAATCTCATTGGAACAGTATTTGAAGAGTTTAGATAAGTTAAAAGAATTAAATAAATGAAAATGTATGGGTGAAGGAATGGTTTTGGTTTACATAAAGCAGTCAAAGGAAGACCACTAAACAAAATAAACACATAAAATAATGATAATGATAAAAATAATTTACCAAGGTAGTAATAAGTTTATCACTGTCTCTTTCTAGAGACATAACTCAGCTCTGAGCTTTTTTTATTACTATTGCTTCTGCAAACCAAAGAGGCACTGCGTTCTTTGTTTTTGTTTGCTAATAATTTTAAAGGCTTGTGGAATGTCAATGGTATCCCTGGTGTCAAGTAAACATCGATCTATTTCATTACGGGTGTCATACCTTGCGCTCAGCCTTTTTTAATCAGTCCATATGCCTCCCATCTCGGTATCGGATGCCTGAAGATTCAGCCTCTTCAAAATCATCACTAAATAGTTTAAAATTGCTACCCAGTAACTTGCATTTATATTTAACATTATTGAGTTACACGGTCAATGTTTTGAAAACCCCTATATTAAGGATCATACTGTTGGTTCTTACTAATAAATCGTACGTTCGTACAATTTTGATTACAGTGCAATCATCTGACGAAGTAGACATAGTTATATCATTCTACTGTGTTTATAATTTATAGAACTTTATTTCATCATAACGATCTACTCATATTGCATTTATTTTACGTTGTAATATTGTGGGTTTTTATAGGAATACGCGAAAATTGTGTTGATTGTATATTGAATGCATTGACTATTCATGCACCTACTGTGGAAAATGTTTTTGTTAGTGAAATCGATCGTGTTGTCCAGTGGGCTGGTACAGATTTTGCTGCAGATATTCGTAATCTTTTACAAGACGAATTTTCTAAAAAACGCAAACCATTACCACCACCGTCTCGTCGTTCACATGGAACGGAAGATTTTGATCATAAACAACAACGAGTGATTAGTGATTTTAGTAAACAAATTGATTGCCTACTTCATTATGGTAAATTTATTAATCGTCCATCACAAATGAATGAAATGTTGGCGTTTTGCAATCTAAGAGTAAGTGATCACTTTTTTTTCTGTTTTGACTTTTGTTTTCGTTAACACTAGCTATGCCATCTAATTATTATTCCTTTTTTACGAATTACTACTGACGAGTAGTAACGTGTTCGTTTGTATAAAATCAAAATTCTTAATAACACCATATTTGTCATTCCGATTTTTCCTAGTTTTTTAATAGTTTATTGCCATGTTAATTTGGTTAATCAATAGGGAATTAAAGACCTAGATTTCATACTAACGGGCAAAACGTATCTGAATTGTTGCTGGGTTACTAACGTTCATTAAGATGTGTTTACTCCATGTATTTTTGCAAGATTTTTTCAATATCCTTGTTACTTCTTTCTGGTTCAAGTTTATTACTGTTCATTAATGTTGTTCGTTGCTTTCTGAACTGGGATTTATGACCCTTCACACTTTTTTTGTTTAAGTTATCAGTTTAATCTATGTTCAAGTGAATTAAATGATTTTCTATCAATATCCTCTTGTGTATACATATAAATTATTCTGTTCTATTTGTAGAAATTCTACGAATCCATCAATCGTAAAGATATGATTTTACGTTATTTATATCGACTGGATCGATTGCATGCAGCATATTCTAACCAAACAGAAAGAGGTTATACTTTGGAACTGATTAGTGAAAATTATTCGGTAAACATTTACTTTATATTTCACTAGTGAACATTATCCTTTCTCCTGATATCTCATCGATTTCTATTGAGAAAAGAGTGAATATATGTATATTAATTTATGAGATTATGCGTGTTATATATATTATTTATATGGATGATCAAGTATCTTTTATACTGAATTATTATGAGGCGAACTGTAAACTGTTGTTTTTGTGGAGCAGCGATGTATCAGTTGTTAAGGTGTTCGATTTTCAGTCACTAAGTCATAGGTTTAATCATCGCTTTACCTATATAGGTTTCGGAAACTGAATATTTTCGATAGACCTGACACTGAGAGTTTACTCAGAGTTACGTACACGAATTTTTACCCTGCGAGCGACTGTTTCATATCGATTACTATTAATCGACCACTTGTTTATCATATAAATCAAGATTTGTCATCGTGTGAATGATTTAGATCCGACACAATGGTAACTTATAATATGAAGGATACTTGTCAATTCACTGGATTAGGAATTTTAAGCTCGCATATTTTTCTATTCACGCTGTATCATAGGGGGATGTTGAAGTTTTTTGACTCATATGTATATCGATATTATAAGAATTTAGGAGCAGTTATGAGTATAAAAAAATGGTTTTAATAAAACCGAATGAAATGTTACTATGATATTGAACAGTTCGAACTGAGAATTATAGGCAAACAACGTACGGGATTTCTGTCCACTCTTAGTAACTTATTTCTCACTGAATATCAGGAATATCGAAGCTCTGGACCTCCTAAAACGATTCGGTTGACGAGTCACTAACTTGATAAACTGATACCATGAAGTTTTTTCAAATCTACTTCAATATCGTGTAACATCGTTCATATTAGCGTTGGTTCGACATGCCAATCATTTCAGTCGATACAGCTTCACGGTCGTCACATCAGCTGATTTTTCATCACTGCCTAGTACTCTACGACTAACCTTAACTCTGCTTTGTTGGTTTTTCCAGTCTACGTGACCAGTTCTTCGTCGATATCTATAGTCAAAATCTATTTATATACATATATTCTCAGCTTTCAATGCTCATTTTCCATGTGTATTAACTGATTCAACATTACTTGAAAGTTTCCATGTAATCTATAAACCAGTTTCCTCCACTTATTTTGAAAATCCATTCCATATCTCAGTGATTAACTTCTTTTTCTCTGTTTTTCTCTTTAAAAAAATAATAATAGTGGGATGAAACCAGTGTTGATGTGGATGACGTATCACCCCATTATGTACAATATGGAAAAAGTTCATCACGAGAATTACGTGAACGTTTATTGCTTGATAGTTTTGAATATTTAAAACAAGGTACCGATTGGGAACATGCAATAGATATATCGAATAAATTAATACATTTATATCGTGATATTATGCCAAATTATGAACGTCTAAGTGAAATATTGGTAAGCTTTATTTTTTTTCACATTTAAAGCAATATAATTTGTCTTTGTTATAAACAAATTTTATGAATCATTTTCTGTTGTTGTAAATGGAATTCACAGTTACGAATCTAGTCACAATCATATCCTTTTATGTCTATCAGTTTAAATGTTTTTAAGAACAGGTGTTTATAGGGAAGATTTCAAGTTGATTACGAGAACATACCGCAGTGTGATTCTACAAGAGTAAGAGGAGAGTAGTTGTAAGTTCTATTCTTAAACATCTAATCACTCCACTGATCCACGGCTTAATTTTAAAGTTGTTAATACTATTCGTCCAAATCTACCAAGATTTCTTCGTACTCAATTCTTTAAAACTGTAGAATTTCTTACCATCCCGAACTGTGCGTACATCAACTGTGAGGTGCAGATACATCCGTCTGATGAGTCCCAAATGGGACGAAACGCGCGTCGTAGATTCCGCTGCTAGCCACTATCCATCTTTGCTTATTATTATTATCATTACTATTATTATTATTATTATTATTATTATTATTATTATTATTATTATTATTATTATTATTGTTATATTTCGTATTTGAAAACACCTTCCTTTCTTGTCAATTATTTCTCATATCTTGATTTTATTCATAATTGTTTCGGATATCGGTTCATTTCATTTCACCCCTCCATTACCTATAATTGCGTTCGAAGTGAAGACCGGTGTTAGGCAAGGTTGCTTACTCTCACCCTTTCTCTTTCTCCTGGTGATCGACTGGATCATGAAGACGTCAACGTCTGAAGGGAAGCGCGGGATACAATGGACATCTAAGATGCAGTTGGATGATCTAGACTTCGCAGACGACCTGGCCCTTCTATCCCAAACGCAACAGCAGATGCAGGAGAAGACAAACAGTGTGGCAGCAGCCTCAGCAGCAGTAGGTCTCAACATACACAAAGGGAAAAGCAGGATTCTCCGATACAACACAGAATGCACCAATCCAATCACAATTGACGGAGAAGATTTGGAAGATGTAAAAACCTTTACATATTTGGGCAGCATCATTGATGAACAGGGTGGATCTGATGCAGATGTGAAGGCGCGGATCGGCAAAGCAAGAGCAGCATATTTACAACTGAGGAACATCTGGAACTCAAAGCAACTGTCAACCAACATCAAGGTCAGGATTTTCAATACAAATGTCAAGACAGTTCTACTGTATGGGGCAGAAACCTGGAGAACTACAAAAGCCATCATCCAGAAAATACAGGTGTTTATTAACAGTTGTTTACGCAAAATACTTCAGATCCATTGGCCGGACACTATTAGCAACAACGTACTGTGGGAGAGAACAAACCAGATCCCAGTGGAGGAAGAAATCAGGAAGAAGCGCTGGAAGTGGATAGGACACACATTGAGGAAAGCACCCAACTGCGTCACAAGACAAGCCCTCACATGGAATCCTCAAGGCCAAAGGAGAAGAGGAAGACCAAAGAACACATTACGCCGAGAATTGGAGATAGACATGAGAAAAATGAACAAGAATTGGATGGAACTAGAAAAGAAGGCCCAGGACAGAGTGGGTTGGAGAATGCTGGTCAGCGGCCTATGCTCCATTGGGAGTAACAGGCGTAAGTAAGTAAGTAAGTAAGCGTTTGATTGAGATCGCGAACTGATTGATGTTAGACCACCATTGAAAACCTGGAAGCACTGGACGGCTGTTTCGTCCTATTGTGGGACTACTCGACAGTGCGCATCCACGATCCCGCCAGCGGGATTCGAACCCAGGGCCTTCAGTCTCGCGCACGAACGCTTAACCTACTGGACCACTGAGCCGGAGTCCCGCGAGCGGGATCGTGGATGCGCACTGTTGAGTAGTCCCACAATAGGACGAAACAGCCGTCCAGTGCTTCCAGGTTTTCAATGGTGATCTACCATCAATCGGTTCGTGATCTCAATCAGAAATTTAACAATCTCCACAACCCCTAAAAACCTATAATTGCATTTGATTATTTTAACAAAAACATTTTAATAATCTTATTTCATTCACATTATAATCCGTTTCTGTTATTGATTTTACAAAGCTTTCTATTTGTACACACACAATCTTATTATTATTATTATTGCGTAACCTAGTAATGTAATCTTTTTATTCATCATCACTTCAATCCCTTTTTCATGTGCCCTCACGGAACTAATAGTTTAAAAAATCTCCATACGTATATATTATTGTACAGCTTGTTAATAAATACGTTGAAAAGAGATCCACTTACTGAACTTCGTGTTTTTAGATTTTAAATGGGAATCATTCGTCAAGAGAAGATTAAGTCTATTGAGGATGGTGGGACATGTATATTAATGACTTCAGAATTGATTAATACAAAAAAAACTCAGACAAACACAGGAGACGGTACACACACCAATTATTTCACAGCACTATAATGTTTATTGTGTGCCTGAATATGTGTTTAGTAGTAATATAGTAGCTATCATTATGATTTTCTTTATCTCAATGGTGATTCCAGGTAACCTATACCCATTACAAAACGACTTGAGGTATTAATTCACATGAAACTGAACTATCAATAAAAATTTTAAAATAATCACGGCGATTACGAATGATACTAGTCCTAAATGGACCACTCTAGTCAGTCAGTAACAACGTAGAACTTCGTACGTACGTACACCAGTTCGAGTTGCTATACCACATTAGCACAGAGATGGTAAGAGCATAAGCAGAAATCGGAAAGATTAGGGTTTGAATATGTTATTCAAGGAGTATAATACAGTGAAATAAATTTGGAAAGAGGAAAAAAGTGGCATGAGGAATTTAGAAGATGCACCTGCGCCATTGCAAACGATTTTGAGCCATGTCATTCAGCGTCTCTAACCATCGGTTGCTATCATCTCGTGGTCCCCAACCAGGTAGTCTACACCTACCGACATGACTCAGACCACTTGTCAGTGACTTCATGGACTTGTGCCATGTTTTGGTCTGGCCGCCCCTAACTTTCCTCCAACCTACTCCTATACCACTGAACATCGCACATCGAGGCAGTCGGTCGTTTTGCATACGTAACACGTGTCCCAGCCATCTCAACTGATGAAGTTTCACTACTTCATCAATTGATTTGCCATCCTTACCTAGTACCCGTTTCCTAACAACTGTGTTACTTACTCGATGGTCCCATGATATACGAGCAATGCTTCGAAGACACCTATGATCAAATACTAGTAACCTACGAATATCCTCTACTCTTACCGGCCATGTTTCACTGCCATAAAGTAGGACGGAACGAACTGCTGCGCAGTAAACCCGTCCTTTGGTTGATAGACGGATATCTCGCCTACGCCATAAATGACGCAAGTTGGCAAAAGCTAGTCGAGCCTTCTGTATCCGTGTTGAGATTTCGTCACACACCAGACCACAAGGGCTGATGAGACTTTCAAGATAAGTGAAGCGGTCGACACGCTCAACTACTTCACTCCCTATCATTAGTTCGGGTGTCAATGCAACCCAATCCTGAAGCAACATTTTGCATTTCGAGGGGGAGAATCGCATGCCGAACATGCTTGCATTGTTGCTTAGAGTGGTCAGAAGACTGCATTTTGTCAGCGTCTTCACCAAATAGAACTATGTCATTGGCATATTCTAAGTCATCAAGTGAATCTCCCGGTAGAAGTTCAACCCCTGGAAATTTAGATGAGAAAATTGTTATCTCCAGAAGTACGTCGACGACAAAGTTAACACATGGATGGAGAGAGTGGACATGGACCACTCTATCTTGTTTCTGAATGATCTCTAACTCTTACAGTACGTACAAGTTTTAAGCTATGGTCTTCGTATAATCACTCTCAGTGCTATTCACCTAGCCAAGACTTTGGAGTAGATGGGATGGGGTTCAAACATGTGATGAATAATTAATTGGAAGTCAATTGGTTTAACTATTAAACCACCACCTCTATAGAAATGGTTCTGCCTTTAAGTATGTCAGCAAGGAAGAATCCTTTTCATTTATCGTTTTATGTTACTATTATATAAGAACAAAAAAACAGATTACTTGGTTGGCATTGGGACTATTGAGATCAGGGCTTAGTGATTGGAATGCGGTTTTATTCTCGTTCTCTCTGTTATTATCTATTAGTTGATCTATTTAATCAGCAGGACCAGTGACCTTGTAAATATCAAGTGACACACTGTCCAACGAATAACAACCAAGACCTTAGTTCTGATTGGCGCTCGAGCTCTTACAAACTCAGTGTTTAGTTGGAAGACGAAGACAGAAAGCAGATCAGTTATTTGTTATACTTAAAAGTCATGCAATAATATGCCTAAAATGTCTGGTCACACAACAACACAGTTAGGCGGTTACGATGTGCATATGACTTATTCATAGGTGATATAAAATCGAAGTAATAGAGAAATCACTAATTATTTATAAATCTGACAATGATCTATGGATCAAACGAAATCTTAGTAACCAGAGATTAAAAAAATACAGCAGTTCAATCATCTACTAATGGTACAATAAAAATGTAAACAATAGTCCTTTGTATGACAGTTTCAAAAGCTATGCCTCCACATGAATCATTTTATTACTTATTAGTCTTACTAATTAGTTATAGGCATGTAGAATTATAGGAATTTCGTTTGCTTTTTATCATTTATCCGAATATTTTCTAAGCCCATCTCTTCTTTTTTTCTTGTTTCTTTTATTTCTTTGCAGAAAGAACAAGCTAACTTGTATAGAACTATTGTTACAAATGAACATTCACGTTTACCATTTCGTTATTATTTAATTGAATTTTATGAACCAACAACATCAGCTTTAATGATGATAACAAATCGTAAATTAATCTACCGTACAACATCAGATTTAGGTGATGTATTAAATATGCTAACGGAACAATTTCCTGATGCAAAAATATTAAACCAACCATTGACAACTACAAATCAATCAACATTGAATACATTTTGTATATTTGCTAGTGGGAATTTAGAACCAGAACCTGAAATACCGGAACATTTGAATTCACGTATTGTTGACACTAAAATTAAGAAGTAAATATTTTAACCTAGTAGAAGTTTTGCTTATTTAATTTGCGCACAGACTCTGACACTTAGTATTGGTTTTGAATAGTTGGAAGTAGTCGATAATGAACTCCGGATCTAGGTTTTGTTCTGATTGACACTCGCCGGCGAGATATACTTGTAATCTCGAGGTAACTGATGCTTCCTGGTAGATTTGAATCTAGTATCACACTTTCATGATCTAAGATGTTACCAATAAGGTATTTAGGACACAATTGGTCCCCGGCGAGACTGAAATATATGAAGTTGATTGATCACAGTGTTGTGCCGAATGTATTGTTTGTCAAACCCTTCGGTATTGATCGAATCACACAGAAAGCATGAATTCTCTCAGGATTGTAGATATGTATTACTGACGAATGCCATCTAGCACGAAACATTAATCCAAGGTTCCATCCTTCATCCCAGAGTTGATGTTCACTTCGGGGCTCAAACCTGGAGCTATTAACTTCAAACACCACCGCGTTATCCATTTAGCTACTGAATTCAAATAGCCACTAGCTTCTGCAATGGATTGAATTTTAATTCACATATATTGGTTGTTTGAATTTTCCCATTAATATATATGACTGGAATTGATCAATATCTTTTCATCATATGTTCATCTTATGCGGATTGCCTCGACACTCCCATCAAATCACAAGCATTTTTAATCAGATATGGAAGGTGGCAAGCTGACAGATCCAAAATAGGACAAAGCGTCTATCCTGGGTTCTACTACTGGCCATCATTCATATTTTCTCAAAAGTGTTTGTAAATTAATAGGAATATTGCGGCAATTCGCACAGGATCCATATATCCCCAAAACAGACTAGTCAATTGGAGTCCGTAACACTAACTCAATGACTCGAATAACTAATACATGATTGTAACTTCTTTCAACTATTCTATGATGTAACTCATATTCACTAAGTGGTTAGACCATAAACTTTAAGTTATTTATTTTTTGAATTATGTATTATTTACCAATCGACTTACTGATATAAGCAGTATGAATTTTCAGTCGATGACCTCATGGCAATAATTTGAATGTTTCGATGGAAATGTATACCAATGGATTCAAGAAAAAAAACGTAAAGGTTTCGTATATTTAAAGAATTTTACATAAAAATTTCGAAACGGAGGTTTATATTAATATCAACTGATAGTAGAATAGTTCATGTGAAGGAGGTATTTTTAGACTTAGTTAATTTAAATAGCTATCTGAACTCAGTAGCTAATTGGGTTGTATTAGCGTTTAAAGTTCAATGTATTGGATTGAAATCCCTAAGTGCATATCAACTTTGGGATGCATGTAAATGCAACTGATGAGTCCCAGTTAGAAAACAAAACGTGCAAAATGGACTCCTGCTGACCATATTCTATCTGTTCTGTATTTTTGAAAAAAAAAAACAACTAAATAAACTTAAGTTTCTACTATCCAAGTAGGTACTTCCTAATTTAAATATTCATGTTAGTTCGAATTCTATTTTGCATTTCTCACCAATATGGTATAATAAGTTAGTAGCATTGGTAGTTAAAGCACTAGACTTACGTTCATTGTGTTACAGATTTGAACAATAGCTTAATTTACTTGAATTTGATCAGTTGAATAGTTTCACTTAACTTTACAGAAATAAACTGGATAACTTAAAATCGTTTTTTTAATTCTCTTGTACTTGTTAAATGAATAATTACATCGCATTATAAATGCATTGATTATCATTATCCCTAACATGTTTAAACAAGCTATACTATCATAGTGAACATTTACAACTTTCATTTAATGTTTCTCATTAAAATGTATTGAGTAGCATATTCAAAAGTAAATGGAACCCATCTGTTTATCCTTGAACTGTCTATTTGAAATTGCTTACAATATCTAGCTGAATATATATTCCACAAAGAAAGAGAGGTGTACGCTTGAACATCATACCTTTCACTGTAAAAGATTTAACTGCTTACAATATTTTAATGTGAACTATATATATAGTAGTAGTAGGATTGCTTACAGATGGTATTGTTTCTTTTCTTTCTACGTATTCAGACCTTATTAAATTGTCTTTAGAAAATTCTTTCTGGTTTTCCTTGCTTTTATAAGATTTTTCCATGTAGAAATTATTATTCTACTTTCCTTATTGTGGGCTTTGATTTTCCTTCACCTTTAGTTACTATTCCAAAAATCGTGTGAAATACTTTTTGAGGCATAGACCGTTACAACCTACTGAGGTTAGTTTTAATGATACAATGTTTTTTACCTTATGGTAGCTTTTGTTTACTTGTTCAATTTATTTTTAACTAGAACACCTTTAATTTACAGCGAATTTAGTTGGAGGGTATTTATAGATAGATGGTGGGGGAGATTTGTATCTCAGGTGAATGAGTTTGGTCGGGTCTCGTTCTCTGAGTTATACGGTTTAATCGTGAAGTTTTCATTTTTCTTTCGAATGACATCAGCTCCAACTTAGCTTGACTTGTACTTAATATTTTCACAAATTGATGTCAGATTATCACTGGAATCCAGGGTGTAATAAATAGCTGTCTCGTGCTGACATAAAACTCAATATTACGCGTCTATGACTTTACCAAGGATCGGATCCAGGGTGTTCAGGTCTTACTGCAAACTACTGGGTCGAAGTCCAATAGTACAATCTCAACCTTAATCAATTTCCTATGTATTGTGACAGGCACTCACTACCATTGGTGTCAATTGTCCAGGACTCTGATTTTTAATGACACATCAACTGAGGTCTATTTGTCACATGAATACTACCTACAAACATAAAATATGCTCATAATAGCAGTTAGGAAGATTTTTGGTTCAGTCGTTTTGCCCATTTCATTAGATGCACACATATCTCGTAGACATCATATCGGTGTTATGGGATGATGGCTGTACTATTACACGAATCATTGAACTCAGCATTTATTAAGTGACCTGAAAGAAAGTCTTTTGTTTAATCCCTGATGTGGTCATGAATATGCACTACTAAAAAGTTACAAACTGGGACTAGAAATCTGTTCGGCGCTGCTTATTTTTCGATAGTTTTCCCAGTAAATTTACCATTAAACGATGTTTTACAGAATAACAAGGTATGAATTACGATAAATCACTAACTTCGTTAAATCTAATCATGATATAAACATGATAAATCATACAGAGAGATGAAATTTGGTATTTATTTATACATTTGAAAGTAGCTTTCATTAGAAACAATTGATTTATTTTAAAGAATCACTGATAATCGGAAAATACTGGACAGTGGTTTCATCTTAGTATACTCTGTTTGCGGCTAGAGATTTAGGATGTGCGTCTTTTGTTCTATTCACAATTTATTAGGTGGATGCACCTTTCATTCTAGCCTTGATTTTCACATTAAGACCCTTACTTAGTCCCTTTATATCTATTGAACAATTTAGTGATACAGTAGTTTTATGCGAAAGGTTCTGTGTTCATTTTTCAACAAGGCTACCAGACGTTATACTGAGACCATCCACTAAAACTTTACATATGGAAACAGAGATTGGTCATTTACAGTGGAAAAGTGCGAAAATTTGCTAATTGTTTCGTCTTATTCATACAATTAATTTCTTTTCCCAAAGTAAGAACAACAATATTTACAGAATATGATTGACGGCCTGCTTGTGAATATCTGGACTACTTGTTCCTGCCATCTAGATATTTCAACAAGTTGTTTGTTTTAACACATCATGATGTCTATTAATCACATAACCTAATCAGGTGCGTTTGTGAAAAGTTTACGACCTTTCTCTGTACAAGTTACAAAAAAGTACAATTAGTGGTTGTTAACAATATGAATTGAAAGGAATGAACATTATTCAGATGTTGATTCCCGAGATTGCTAACATCTATCTGGCAATCACTCAATATTTATCACCAGGATCGATCAAGAAATAAGAAACGGAAACTAGTTTAAATACTTTGTTTTGATGACAACTCTATATTTTATCAAAAATATAATATTCAATAAAGCCATTCATAAAATAAATGATAATGCATTAGATTTCATTGCTTTCTCTTCAACTACATACGAGTTAATGATGTTTCGTTACTTCTAATTATTAATTAATTACGAATAAGTTGTGTATTATATGAAAGAAGTTAACAATTCCAAGTTTAAAAGGGCCGGGTTTTTTGCACAATCCTTTGACGTATTAGTCCTAGAATTTTATTGTTATTTCGCATTATAACAAAATTCTTAGAAGTTTAAGCTCGAAAAGTGGACTTGTAAGGTCAACTCACTAAATTATAATTACATTTAATCTAGAAAAGTAGGGTCAAAATGTTACCAAGGCATTTGAAGGTTAACTAACTCACTCTTTTTTTAAAAATGAGGTCAAGTTTAAGCTATATAATTGTTATAGATTTTGGGGATTTTAACAAGGTGGAAATTAGTCTATTTATTGACTATTTTCTTTTAACTTGAGATCATCAACCGATCAATGTTAGACGACCAATTAAATCTAGTATGAGACTACTCAACAGTGCTCATCCACAATCCCGCGTTCGGGACTTGAATCCAGGGCCTTCGATCTATGAAAAATTCATTAAAACCATGTTATGACCCATGTTGAGTAGATAGTGTACTATTGAACTCCGTAAAGAGCTTTCTTCTCCAATGTGTCGGATTTTTCGAATATGCTCATTAAACCTTTAATTTTTAACTTTTTCCAATATAATACACAACTTATTCGTAATTAATTAATAATTTATCTTATTATATTGTTAATTAGTAATAACTAAACATCATTAACTTGTATGTAGCTGAAGAGAAATCAATGAAATTGAATGCATTAATCATATCCTGTAAATATTATTGTTCTTACTTCCCTTCATCATGACAGGTTGTATTGGGTAAAATATTTAGCTTTCAGTTAACAGATCTTATATACGAATGTGACTCTATTCACTTTGATTTTAGGCAGTCAGATAGTATCTTAATGTATACTTGATAAATGAATTAGATTAATTGAAAAGTTATTGATTCGTGTATAACATGGTGTTGATAAAAAACGCCAATGAATTTCCTAATATGACTATTTACTTGTCATATAATTGATGCGACCAATCTGTACTCAATTAAAACTACGATTCAATACATTAAATGGAGATAATGTTGTTAGTTTGTGTAGATTGATACTTCACGTAGAAAGATTCCATAATCTTCACAAATGCATTAAACTTGTAAGTATCGTCTTTTAGTATCTTAAATCATAAGTTATGTTGACTAAAAAATAGTCCATTTTTTATCGCTAATAGTATTTCAACAGTTGTATAAGTGATGTTTTATAATACAATTGACGAGGTAGTGAATGTTTATCGACTCAGACAATCGGGATATGTATTATGTATACTCATTCATGGACCACCACTGCGCGCGATAATAACTGATGTGGGATTAAGTTGTAAGAAGTGTAGAAGCGTGCAAACTAAGCAATGACCTTGGATCATGACGACACGAACTATTGAACTGAGTCATATAGGTAGGTGTAGATTATCTAGCTGTGATCTGCGTGAATATCGCAACTAATAGTTAAAGACTTCAGGTTACATGGCTCAAAATTCTTTGGAATGGCGCAAGTGTATTCACTCCTTGTCTTCCCTTAGATCCTAAGTCTCTGAATTCCTCATTATTTCACTAATTTATATTTTCTCGAATGGTGTCATGGATGCCTAATTTTTTCTATTACCATTAGTACTAGTTGTAACTATACTATTTTGAAATTTTCCCTTATAATTTCATCTCGCTGTGTATAAAGGGTATACCAACTTAAACTATGCATGATTTTACGTTGGATTTGATTCAGTGACTGACTGATGTTGGAAAAGTTGATCTTTTAACTTGAAAATCTCCGTTTAACTCGTTTATTTTTAGTTTCAATTTTAATTTTTTCGGTTCTAGAAAAAAGATGGTCGTCTTGTCACTAATACAGAAGAAACTCGTTATTGTATTGCAGAGCCGATGCCAAATATCATTCCTATTATGCCAGTAGATAGAGTGGAAATTGTAAGTTAATTATTTCTCTTGCCCATAAAAAGTTTATATCACGAGATATGATAGCAATTGTAAAAAGATTGTTAGGTGCATAACACGGAATAGCTGTTCCATCTTTATTATTTATGGCCTCCTTTATTGTGGGTATTTATGATCATGTCCGGGGTCGAATCCATGACTTTATCTCATAGTAACCATACTTTCTTTAGATTACTATATTTTTGATTAATATCAGATGGGTTTTTGTGGAGATTGTAGTAATTTCAATGGTTAAGGTCATGAGTCAGTTGAAGCTAGACCACCATGGAAAACCTGGAAGCACTGGACGGCCGTTTCGTCCTATTGTGGGACTCCTCAGCAGTGCGCATCCACGACCTCGCCCCCC